TTGGTACCCTTTAAAAATGCCGATACACGTGACTGCTATTTTAGCACTACTTTAACAATTATTATAATTTACAAATTTTTTCCTCTAACGGTGGACAAATTTAATTTTGCCGTACTGTGTTATTGTCGATAATTTTAAATTAATTAGCTGAAGCCTGTCTGTACCTTCCTGGTCAATTAAATACCTTTTCGCCTAAAAATTAATTCTATTTGCAAATATTTAAAAAAAAAAAAAAAAATTCTATAAAAATTAAGGTCAATGCATGCTTGAAACTGATGTTCAATGGCTTGAAACTAATTTCGAAAGCATTTTTGGATGTCCGCCCATGTACATGTTTTTTGTGAAGAAGGTGTCATTTATAATCCGATTTAAATACAACTTTACACAGATGATTTATTTCACGCAAGGAAACCCCCTATTGAAATTGGAGCTAGTCGGTCAAAATTTAGATTAGCTGCCATATGCATACATTGTGATATTTGTGCAAATGGGATGCAAATTGGCACATTAGTGCCTAGAAGCAAATATGTCAAATTTGATGAAAATCGGTTTAGGTATAGCTGTAGATAATAAAAATATTGTTCATTAGTTTGTTAATTTTGTCCCCCATAGCGATAATACGCTCCATAACAAGGATATTCGGAAAAATATATATCGAACACAGCTTAAAAATTTGTCGAATGTTAACGCGATCGGTTCAGATTAGGATATAGCTCCCAGATATATCATTAAAACAAGTAAGCAAAGGCTATAGTCGTGCGGGGCCGACTATGTTATACCCTACAACACTACATATGTTAGAAGCCCCCTTATGTCAAAATCCATATTGGAAGATTTCTCTTTTGAAATTAGGATTTTGACTAGGGACATTTGCCCAACATTTATGCACTCCGTCGGGCTGTTAGTTGTTGTAGTCCATTTTACAGCTAAATATAATCCAATGGTCCTCCAAAATGCTAGAATTCTTCCCTGTCCTTAACTCTCTTTTGGCTTCAATTGTGTGATCGGAAAAACATTTCTGTTTTTGGTTAATTTGAACCCCTAAATATTTTTCAATCATCTCCAAAAGCAAGAAGTCCTTCTGTATCTCCAAATTTAGACTCATCTATATGATTTGCTTGTCTACGATATTTGGCTATATTCGTCAACGAAATCAGCATGAAAAAGCCAGAAGTTCGCCTTTTGTGTATTTCAGATATCGCCTGTAAGTAATGCTGGTATTTTTTCACACAAAATTAGTGTACCCGCTGTCCTAAACTCTAACTTTATGCGAGATTTTGTGTCCTTTGGTTTCTATTTGTGACTTTTATAAGGGCTGCAAAATCAGGAAAATTTTTAGTTGTTGGTCCATTTCGACCCCCTAATATATTGCGGACATCTTTGAAAATAGTAGGCCTAGCCCTTCTGAGCCCAACCCTACCCTTGTGAAAATTTTCGTGAGGATCGGACGATATTTGCAATACTTATATAATATCCCCAACCTGTGTTGTAAGGTGAAAAAATATTACAAAATATTATAAGTCAAATTGAAAAAATCGCATGCGATAAAAAATATGAAAAAATAAAAATATGTCACAAAATATAAGCATTCTAACTAATATCCCCTTCTTTTGTATATACACATTGTATATATTTCGCCATATATAACCGCTATATATTTACTATGTAACGGTCAGAATTGTTCGTCTATTTGTGATTTCGCCGGGATTAAAAATATTCCCGGTTTAATGGAAAATTTGACTTTTATTTATCACAAATGTTATGGCCTATTTCACCCGCTAAATATTACCCGATGACCATCCCAGCCCTAAGCTCTAGCCCCATACTAACTTCCGCTTTGATTGGTCTATAATTGCGACCTGTAGAGCAACTGCAAAATCAGGAAATTTTTTAGGTTTTGGTCCATTTCAACCCCTTAATATTGTGCGATCATCTCCAAAAGAAATAGGGTTCTGTTCTGACCCTAGCCCCACCTCCATTCTAAATTTCGGACAGACGGACGGACATATAGCTAGATCGACTCAGCTCGGCGAGATAGGAAGATCCATATATACTTTCCTATGTGAGAAAACAATATTTCGTGGTGTTACATAATTTTTGGCCCAATCAAACTAATAATACCCCCAACACATAGTGAATTGTAACCATTTCCAGAAAATTGTGAAAATCGGCCCAGCGGTCCTTGACTTATAAGCCGAATAAATAACATTTATTTCTTTTACATATATTTCTTAGCTATCAGCATCACTTTAATAGTTAGAAGTGACCTTTGTGACTTTGTGATTTGGATGGGATTAAAAATATTCGCGGCTTAGTGGAACTTTTCGTATATTCTTAAAAATTAGGTTATATTTTACCCGCTAAATATTTTCCGATGGCCGCCCAAATTGGTAGGCTTCTGTCCAGTCCTAAACTCTAACTCCATGCAAATTTCCGTCGATTGGTTCATAATTGTGGCCTATAGAGCAACTGCAAAATCAGGAAAATTTATTGTTTTTGGACCATTTCAACCCCTAAATATTTTGCAATCATCTCCGAAAATAATAGGTTTCGACAGTCGAGCGGGGCCGACCGTTTAATACCCTACAACACTACAACAATATTTCCCAAAGACCTATAATCTCTCAGAAGTGGGAAAAAATTAACATTTATTATTGGTTTTTGACTGAAACGCATCTATGTGAGATACAGACATTTGAATATATTCTTCAACGAAATCAGCGTTAATGAAATTGTCAGAGGTGTGTCTTTCCTGTATTTGTGAATTCTCCAAAAAGTCACTGGAATGGACATTTTCGTATTTTGTCTACAAAAGTTGGCAATCTCCTTCACACATTGAATATTTTTGGATGGCTATCCAAAACCGCTTGGCTTTTACAATGTCCAGTAACCCCCATTCAAATGTGCGTGAGGATCGGGCGATAATTACGACCTGCTGACAATTTTGCCGTTTTTTTGGTCCATTTCAACCCCTAAATATATGGCGATCATCTCCAAAACGAGTAGACTTCTATTCTGACCCTCATCTTATCCCCATGCAAAATTTCGTAAGGATCGGTCCATAAATGCGATCTGTATATGATATCCTGATATCCTAACTACTTAGTTTTGTTAGCTGTAGAAATATTACCAAATGTTTAATTCAAAATGAAAATATGACAAAATGGAAAAAATATGAGAAAATGTTACAAAATCAATATTTTCATCTTTAGGGAGATATTTTTATGCGATTTTTTAGACGTTCTTTTCTTTTCTGCCAAGAGGCCATTCTGAATTAATGAGAACTGTCGAAATCAGTTCAGCCGTTCTCGACATATATGAGATCTTTCAAGCATATCTTCTTTGATAGACATATATATCGTACATAGTTTGCTATCTATCCGATTTGTTGGATCTTAACATCAATGTAAAGATCAGAAGTAACCTTGTCATGGCTTTGTGATTTCGCCGGGATTTAAAATATTCGCGGTTTAATGAAAAATTTTGAATTTCTTCATCACAAAAGATATGGTCTATTTTACCCGCTAAATATTATTGGATGGCCCCCAAATTGGTAGGCTTCTTCCCCGCCCTAAACTCTAGCTATATGCGAAATCCCGCGTCGATTGGTCTATAATTGCGACCTGTATAGCTACTGCAAAATGCGACATTTTTTCAGTATTTGGTCCATTTCAAACCCTAAACATTTAGCGATCATCTCCAAAAGAAATATTCTGACCTTAACCCCACATTCGTGCAAAATTTCGTAAGGATCGGGCCATAATTGCGACCTGTAGCGTGATTACAAATTAACATGGACAGGCGGACAGACGGACGGACATACATAGCTAGATCGACTCAACTCGGCGAGCTAGGAAGATCCATATATACTTTCCTACATGGGAAACCAATATTTCGAGGTGTTACATAATTTCTGGCCCAATCAAACTTATAATACCCCCAACACATAGTGTTGTAGGGTATAAATAATCTAGAAAATTTAAAATTCAAAATTGTAAGTCAAATTGAAAAAATCACATGCGATAAGAAATATGACAAAATTGAAAACATGGAACAGAAGATATTCACTTTTTTATTGATATATTTTTCCGCGATTTTCTTAGATGTTTTCCTTTTCTGGCAAAGACCATTCCAGAAAATCATGAATCGTGACCATTTCCAGAAAAATGTGAAAATCGGCCCAGCGGTTCTTGACTTATAAGCCGAATAAATAACATCTATTTCTTTACATATATTTCTTAGCTATCAGCATCACATTAATGGTTAGAAGTGACCTTTGTGACTTTGTGATTTGGATGGGACTAAAATATTCGCGGTTTTGTGGAAATTTTCGTATTTTTTTACATAAAAGTTATGGTCTATTTTACCCGCTAAATATTGTCCGATGGCTGCCCAAATTGGTAGCCTTCTGCCCAGTCTTAAACTCTAACTCCATGCAAATTTCCCTCGATTGGATCTTAATTGTGGTCTATAGAGCAACTGCAAAATCAGGTAAATATTTTGTTTTTGGACCATTTCAACCCCTTAATATTTTGCATTCATCTCCAAAAATAATAGGGTACTATTCTGACCCTAATCCAACCTCCAATTTCAATTTCGTGAGGATCGGGCCATAATTGCGTCCTGTAGCTTGATTACAAATTAACATGGACAGACGGACATACATAGCTAGATCTACTAAGCTCGGCGAGATAGGAAAATCCATATAAAGTTTCCTATGTGGGGGAGCAATATTTCGAGGTTTTAAATAATTTTTGGCTCTATCAAGCTTATAATACCCCTAACCCCATAGTGTTGTAGGTAATAAAAATCCAAAATTTCCGCTCTGGTAGTCCTCTAAAAACATGTGTAAAAAATTCACGATAATAGTTCGGTTTGTTCACCCAATTATGTGTATAAACAATCACGATCATTGGCTATGTTGGTCTCTGTTGGTCTCTATTGGTGCTTTTTCTTTAAAAAATCCACTAGAATAGCTCTCTTGGGCCTTCAGGAAATAAATGGTAACATGTAAAAAAGCTGTAAGTTCGGCCGGGCCGAACTTTGGATACCCTCCACCATTTGGTACAAATTTGGCAACTTTCGAAAAAAAAAAAAAAACAAAATCCGTTAAAAATTCTGTTAAAATCTTAAAAATACCGAATGTAGCCGTATATTAGGGTCTAGGCAACTTTTTTCAGAAGCTATTACATAGGCAACTGTTTTCAGAAGCGATTACAATATTCAAATGCGGAATTCGAAAAAAAAAACTGTTTATAATGTAGCTAAAATCATCAAAATACCGAATATAGGGAGGTACCATGGGGGCTATAAAACACGGGGATATGCACAGACGAATTTCTGGCATAGGCTGTAGTATCCATTACGAACTTCAAATACAAAATGTGAAACAATTCCGGTAAATAATGTCGCTATAATCATAAAAATACCGAATATCGGGGGTACCGTTATATGGGGGCTATACGAAGACGTGGACCTGCACAGACAATTTTCTGTCATAGGCTGTAGTATTCATTACGAAATTCAAATACCAAATTTGAAATAGTTCCGGTAAATAATGTTGCTAAATTCATCAAAATACCGCATATTTGGTGGTACTGTTATATGGGGGCTGTTTTATGCTGTAGTATCTGTTACGAGCTTCGAATATCAAATTTGAAACAATTCCGGTAAATAATGTCGCCAAAATCTTCAAAATACCGAATATAGGGAGGTACCATTATATACTCTGAGCAGATAAACTATCAACTATGCTAGGCCCATAAAAACTGTTTCATTTGTTCCCCTCACTCTGTTACAAAAAAATACCACCATAAATACTCACCATATCCCCTTTCTGATGTGGGGCATAATTAAAAGGACCACAAAGCTAATCACAAAGGCGTTTACACGATATTTCGCCAGATCATTAGACAACAAAAAACGTTTTGAAAAACAAACACTTGAACACTTTTGTATTACAACAATTTAGACAATTGTTGGCATCTTGTTTGTGGTTCAATGAATTTTAATTGGATTCACATTTGGCCAACAAACAAGAACAACACAAAGACGACAAATAAATACCAACCAAAATACTTGACTGGTGTCGGGCATATAATGATCTCAAAATGCTTCATCATTTTAGATGTGCATGCATTTAAATAAGTCTGAACCTTTGTATGGCCGTCTCATATCAATATCATCATGCAATGCAATGAAATGGGCAAATGCAATTTTTGGATGCTGTTGCTGTTGTTATTGTTGTTGCTTAGTCAGTCGGTGACAAAAGGACAGACAGACAGAAGGCCTTTTTTTATTGAAACGCCTTTCCCTACCATACACGAACTGTGGTGTAGCCGCAGCAGCAGTAGCAGCTAGCAAAGCGATGTGTTTATCTAATTTGGCCAACAATTAAAAAACATAAATTTTGGCCTAATCTCATCATTAGACTAAATATTTTGTTTTGCTTAGATACAAATAAAAGCAAACACACACGCGCACGTGTATAGTAAGCTAATTACAGATTTACAACGAGATAATATGTTGGGGCATTTGCATATGGGACACTGCGCGAAGACTGGTTCAATATGTTAGGAGGTGAAAACGCAACGAAAAATAAGAATAAAAATTTAACGGATATGCAAGGAGTTACTGAAAAATAAAAAAATCTACAAAGGTTTGCTATTTCCTAAAAATCCCCGCTCCTACAACTCAATGATTATAGCTCAGAATGTTATGAAAGATCTTTAAAAAAAAACTCCATTCAAATACTAAAAAAAGTAGAAAAATTAACCAAAAAATTGTAACTATAACTCATAACGAGTAAAAAGCTGTAAGTTCGGCCGGGCCGAACTTTGAATACCCTCCACCATTTGGAACGAATTTGGCAATCGTCAAAAAAAAATCCGTTAAAAATTCTGTTAAAATCTTAAAAATACCGAATGTGACCGTTATATTAGTTCCTATACGACGACGTGGACCTGCATATGTAGGTTTTGTCATATGGCGTTACAATATTCAAATGCGAGACTTGTAAAAAAATCGGTGAGTAATATGTGAGTAAAATGAAAGTATAAAAATACCAAATATAGGGGAGTACCGTGTAACCTGGACCTGCACAGAGAACTTTCTGTCCATTACGAACTTCAAACACCGATTTTGAAACAATTCGGTGAATAATGTCGCTAAAATCATCAAAATACTGAAAATACTGGAGTTATACGAAGACGTGGGCTTGCACAGACAATTTTCTCTCTTAGGCTCTAGTATCCATTACGAACTTTAAATATCGGGATGTACCGACAATTTTCTGTCATAGTCTGTAGTATGCATGACGAACTTCAAACACCAAATTTGAAACGATTCCGGTGAATAATGTCGCTAAAATAATCAAAGTACCGAAAATCGGGAGGTACCGCTATATGGCTGCTATATGAAGACGTGCACCTGCACAGACAATCTTCTGTCATAGGCTGTAGAAACTTCAAATACCACATATGAAACATTTCCGGTAAATAATGCCGCTCAAATAATCAAAATACCGAATATCGGGAGGTCAACCTACTTCATTTCGTTTGAAAGCTAGAGTGACTTCCAAAGACGGACGGACAACGCTAAATGGACATAGAATTTTATGCTGATCAAGAATGTATATACTTTGTGGGGTTTATAATGTATACAAACGGAATGACAAACTTAATATACCCTCCAATGGTGGAGGGGATAAGAATAAGATAAGAATCCATGAACGTGGTTGATCTTGGCAAAATCTCTTAAAATATCCACGTTTATATTGCTATTGGAAAATATGTTTGAAAAAAAGCCCTATAGTGATCTGAAGAATTCGTTTAAGATTTCGACGATCATAGCTCTTTCCGTTGAAAAACTTTGGATTATAGACCTGTAGGCTCTTGAAAAAATCTAAATTTATTTCTCTATTGATCCTTAAACATTTTTTTAAGCCCGTCGATTATAGCTCTGCTGGTACTTGAGTCCATGGTCCTAAATAATTTGAAAAATATATCTAAAAATCCATAATTATAGCTCTGTTTGGTCGCGATTTTAGCTCTATTGGTCCTTGAAAAAATCCACGATCAAAAAATGTTACTCATTGAAAAACAATACGTTTAAAAATCCTAAAATCTTATCCACGATTATAGTTCCCATGATCGTTAAAAGTCTAAGCTTATAGCTCTATTGATCCTTGAAAATGTATTTATACCCTACAGCAGTTTGATTGTTTGACCGAGCCAAAAATTATGTAACACCTCGAATTATTGGTTTCCCATATAGGATGGATCTTCCTATCTCACCGAGCTGAGTCTATCTAGCTATAAATGGCTGTCCGTCCGTCCTTCTGTCCATTTTAATTTGTAATCAAGCTACAGGTCGCAATTATGGTCCGATCCTAACGAAATTGAATATGAAGGTGGGGTTTGGGTCAGAATAGAATCATATGGTTTTGGGAGATGATTTCAATATATTTAGGAGTTGAAATGGTACAATATTAGATAGTTGCTCTGTAGGCCACAATTATGAACCAATCGACGCGGAATTTTGCATAGAGTTAGAATTTAGGACTGGGCAGAAGCATACCAATTTGGGCCATCGAACAATATTTAGCGGGTAATATATATTATAATATTATAATATTAATACATTACATTACAAATACATTAAGAGGTGACTTCTGTCCATTAAAGTGATGCTAATAGCCACGATATCGGATATGTAGCAGAAATAGATCTTATTTATTCTGCTTAAAAGTTCAGAACAGCTGGGCCGATTTTCACAATTCCCATCAATTTGAAATGGTCTCTTGTCACAAAGGGAAAAAATCTAAGACAATCGCGGAAAAAATATACTAATAAAAAAGTGAATATTTTTTTATCGCACGCATTTTTTCAATTTGACTTAAAATTTTGAATTTTAAAATTTCTTAATTTTTACATCCCGCAACACTACGTTTTGAGTGTATTTTATACATGTCGCAGTTATCGTCCGATGCTCACGAAATTTTGCATGGGATTAGATTTAGGCCTATTGTTCTTAAGATGTACATTTAGGGGTTCAAATGGACTAATCATCAGCATCAGAAGAGAGTTAAGGACAGGGAAGAAGTCTAGCATTTTGGATGACCATTGGGTTATATCTAGCTGTAAAATGGACCACAACTTTCACGTGAAATTGTTTTGAATACCTAACAACACGACGGAGTGCGTAAAAATTGGTCAAATTCCCAGGGTCGAAAACCAAAGGGTAACATCTGTGCAGGTCTTTTTGACATTATTCCAAAATCGAAATCTTCCAAAATGGATTTGGACATAAGGGGACTTCGGGACATATTGTAGTGTTGTAGGTATCACATGGTCGGTCCCGCAAGACTATAGCCTTTGCTTAGTTGTTAAAATATACGTTTATAGCTCTGTTGATCTTTAAACAACCTTACTTTGTTTAATTTCCATTTGTTTAATATCCATATTTATAGTCCAGCTATATATAGTATAGTGTATAGATGGACCTTGAAGGAGTATGTTAAAGCTATTCACGATCATTGGTCTGTTGATCCTTGAAAAAAAATGTTTTAGCTCTGTTGGTCCTTATAATTTATGTCCGAAAACCCCAAAAATGTTAATGAAATCTATGATCATAGCTCTATAGGCTCTTAAAAAATATTAAAAAAGTCGTGTCTACCACTCTGTTCGTTCTTGAAGAAATATGTTTTGAAAATCCATGATATTATAGACCTTTTAGTCCTAGAAACTTGCGTTTAAAAATCCTCGATTATAGCTCTACAGGTATATCTTTGTCGTTCTAAAAAAATCCACAATTGCACCAATGTTTGGTCTTCGAGAAATATGTTTAATTTTCATGAATTTAGCTCTGCTTCTCCTTAAACAAATTGTCTACAAATCCAAGATGTTGTGGATAGATAAATAAATTAAAATATAACAAGTAAAAAAAAACATTAAGTTCGGCCGGGCCAAACTTTTAATACCCTCCACCTTAGGGTAAAAGAAACATTAGAAGAAATGTGGCAAAAACCATTAAAATACCGAATATCGGGAGGTACCGTTATATGGGGACTATATCAAATCATGGACCCATACATGCAATGTTTCGCCACCGGAGCTGGAACCCATTATGACCAACAAATACCAATTTTCAGACAAATCCCTGAAAAAATGTGGCAAAAATCATCAAATTACCGAATATTGGGAGGTACCGTTATATGGGGGCTACACCAAAACGTGGACCTATAATTAAAATTTTTCGCCACACGAACTAGGACCCATTATGACCTACAAATACCAATTTTTAGACAAATCAGTGAAAAAATGTGGAAAAAACCATCGAAATACCGAATATCGGGAGGTACCGTTATATGGGGGCTATACATGCAATGTTATGCCACCGGAGCTCGAAACCATTATGACCCACAAATACCAAATTTTAGGCAAATCCGTGTAAAAATGTGGCAAAAAAAAACTAAAATACCGAATATTGGGAGGTACCTTTATATGGTGGCTATACCAGAACGAGGACCGATATATCTCATTTTCAATACAAACCATCCTAGACACAATGCAAATTGCTCTGTTAAATTTTGACACTCTACGTCAAATAATGTGGGCTGTATCGTGATTTCAACAGACAGAAAGACGGACAGACAGACAGAAGGACAGACGGACAGACAGACAGACGGACATCGTTAGATCGACTTAGAATTTTATGCTGATTATGAATATATATACTTTATGGGTCTAAGACGAATATTTAAGGATGTTACAAACGGAATGACAAAGTTAATATACCCTCCTTTCCAAGGTGGAGGGTATAAAAAAAAACATTGTGGTTTCTTTTATCAGCATGAGGTGGAATACCCCATAATGCCCCTACCACTTTTCTCCTTACTAAACTTACTGTGACTGTGTCATTGATTTCTGTGCAACAACACACAGAAATACATTTTTGACGTTGTCATTTAATGATGGCGAGCAATGTTGAGGCGGTGATGAAATCGTTGCCATTCCATGGTGGGCATTTGTGTTTTTTTTTTTTGTATTTTAATTATTCTTTAAAGTTCTCAACCGTTAAACCCGATTAAAAAGATATTTGCTCCCCAATACTTTAAGTCTAAATGCCGAGGTAAAAAAAAGTCCAAATTGCATTACATCCAACAGGGATAAACATGCGTACATATGTGCGCTGCATGGGGAAGAAATAAATTGCAGTGGATTTTTCTCTCTGCCATAAATAAGATTCTAAATGCTTGGCATTTATCGTAACTTCTATGGGCGTTGTTATTTTGCCACAGGGAATTGCTCGTGTCTTTGCTTCCTGTGTTCGCTCGTTGGTCTGTTCTTTTTTCTGAGTGTGAAAAAAATAATAATAAAACTTAATTTTTAATTGCTTAAGTTTTGTTGTCATCATCATCATCCACAATGATGATCATCAAACCGGAGGATCATCTCTTTGTTGAAATTTCCGAAAAAAAAAATATTTTTAAGTTAATTTATTTACAATAGCTAATACTCCAATTTGTTAAATCATTTAACACACAAACACATTAAGGTTTTTTATTTATTTTTCGATTCTTCTCTTTTCGTTTCAGAATTCGTATACAGGTGCGTATATCTCTGACAGATTGAATTTCTACAACCGTTTATGCGACACATTTCAAGGTATTTAGATTTATGGATCCATTTTGAAATTTATAGCAAATTTGGTGAAATGTTTTTAGTTTTTTTTTTTTTTGTATTCGTTGATTTTAATGGTATTGAAATTGTCTTAAATGTTTATCGTAAATTTTCTTGACATATTTTTTATACGCGGAGGGAGGCTGAAAGACGTCAGAGTAAGGAAATTTTAGAATTTTTATAACTTTTTAAATATTTTCAATATCATTGGCAAGAATAAAGATTTCCAAACATAAATGTATGTTGACAAAATACTAAGGAAGAAATTAAACAGTTTATCCACACTTGTTTCAAATTTCAGAGGTCTTCTTCAGAATAAAGCTTTAATATATACATCTACGGTTAAATTAAGGTTAAGGTTTAATGTATATATATATATGTATGTAAGTATATATAAAAAATTCCTTCATTAAAAGGCAATTTCAATCATTTCGAATTTTTTTGAGATATCCGGATTATGATCTCAATTACAATATTATTACAAAACAAGTAAAAGAACATTAAGTTCGGCCAGGCCAAACTTTTAATACCCTCCATCTTAGGGTAAAGGAAACATTAGATGAATTGTGGCAAAAACCATTAAAATGCCGAATATCGGGAGATATCGTTATATGGGGGCTATACCAAATCGTGGACCTACACATGCAAGGTTTCGCCACACGAACTAGGACCCATTATGAACTACAAATACCAATTTTCAGACAAATACGTGAAAAAATGTGCCAAAAATCATCAAATTGCAGAATATCGGGAGGTGCCGTTATATGGGGGCTATACCAAAACGTGGACCTATAATTACAATGACTCGCCACACGAACTGGGACCCATTATGATCTACAACTAACAAATTTTCAGAGAAATTCGTGAAAAAATGTGTCAAAAATCATCAAAATACCGAATATCGGGAGGTACCTTAATATGAGGGCTATACCAAAACGTGGACCTATACATGCAATGTTTTGCCACACGAATTAGGACCCATTATGACCCACAAATACCAATTTTTAGACACATTCGTGAAAAAATGTGTCAAAAATAATTAAAATACCGAATATCGGGAGGTACCTTTATATGGGGGCCATACCAAATCATGAACCCATACAAGCAATGTTTCGCCACTGGAGCTGGAACCCATTATGACCAACAAATTCCAATTTTTAGACAAATTCGTGAAAAAATGTGGCAAAAATAATCAAAATACCGAATATCGGGAGGTACCTTTATATGGGGGCCATACCAAAACGTGGACCTATACATGCAATGTTTTGCCACACGTACAGGGACCCGTTATGACCTACAAATACCAATTTTCAGACAAATCCGTGAAAAATGTGGCATGAATCATCAAAAGACTATACCAGAACGTGGACAGATATATGTCATTTTCAATTCCAACCATCCTAGACACAATGGCAATTGCTCTGCTAAATTTTGGCGCTCTACGTCAAATAATGTGAGCTGTATCGTGATTTCAACAGACAGACAGGCAGACGGACAGACAGACGGACATCGTTAAATCGACTTAGAATTTTATGCTGATTATGTATATATATACTTTATGGGGTCTACGACGAATATTTAAGGATGTTACAAACGGAATGAAAAAGTTAATATACCCTCCTTTCTAAGGTGGAGGGTATAACCAGAGTTATTTTGATGGACAATTTTTAAATTAAATACTAGCTGTAAAGTTTCTCTAGATCTGAAATTATTTGGACCGGAGATAACGAATAAGGAAAAGCATTTTGCGAAACATAATAGGGCCTCTTAAGAGATCATTCTAAATATCCAAATTCAATTAATGTACTCTGTAAGAAAAGGACTAAAAATTTAATACGTTGCATTGGACAAAAGAAATGCGATTCAAGTTTATTTAATTATAAATACAGGGTGTGATAAAAAGACTGCAACAAAGTCAAACTTTTTACTTTTTTTTTAAATTTTATTGAATGAAAACAAAATATGTCGAAAATAGCATCAAATTTTAGAATAAGTTTAGATTTGTTCGCTTTTGGCACGAATTGTGGCCTTCAAACGGCCACACACACACGCTACCCGAATGTTGCTCTGCGGTATTTTAACCCATTCCCGGCGAAGCGCTTTCTTGAGGTGATCGACACTTTGGTAATTTTGAGTGCCAACTTTGCTTTCTAAAATACTCCAGACACAATAGTCCAACGGATTGGTATCCGGAAATTTTGGTGGCCATTGTGCGTTGGAAAAGAAGCGAGGAACATCAATGGCTTTACCCCGAGCTCAGTTTTCAATATTTGCCGAATGGAATATTGCGATATCTTCAGCTCACGAGCCATTTTTCGGTCACTGCGGCGTGGGTTTCAATCAAGTCGCTTCTTTACTTTTCGAACCATTTCTGCTGATGTTGCTGTTTTCTTCCGTCCACTTCCTTGACGTCGGGCTACGCTACTAGTATTAAATGCTACTTATCTTGGTATTGAGTGAATGTATAGGCCTGGAATACCGAAATTCGTTATTGAGGTCTTTGCTGGTATCTAGTATGAGTTTTGCAAGTGTGTACTATAATTGTTAGAAATGAACTAAATGGTACCAATTTAGAATCAATCTTGGTGTCTAGGATGGAGAGATGTAGATCTTTTTGGATATGTTACTAAATTTGTTTCTGGGTGAAGGAATTCTGAAATAGTTTTGGACAGAAAAAATCAATGTGGTCCATTGTGCAATGGTTATATATATATCCTCTTTGGTAAACTTCAACATGAATTATGTTGAAGATTTTTTGATGTGAAGGATAAACATTTTCCTTTTAGTCTCTCCGAAAAACTTGAATAATATATAAAATTGTAAAAATTCTGGAAATTTAGTACAATATTGAAGTTTTGATAAAAAAAAATTGTCAAACTGTGCATTTTAGGTACTAAAAAGCCTAACACTAACTGTTGTAGATTTTGTAGTGTTTTTTGACATTTTTTGAATTTTTTCATATTTTTTATCGCATGCGATTTTTTTTATTTCAATTTAACTTATAACATTGAAGTGTATACTTTGTAATATTTTTTCACTTACAACACAGGTTGAGGTTATTGTATACAGATTGCAATTATCGTCCGATCTTCACGAAAATTTTCACAAGGTTAGGGTTAGTCTCAGAAGGACTAGACCTATTGTTTCCAAAGTTGTCCGCAATATATTTAGAGGTTGAAATAGACCCACAACTAAAAAATTTTACTGATTTTGCAGCCGTTATAAAGGTCACAAGTAGACACCAAAGGACACGAAATCTCGCATGAAGTTAGAGTTTAGGACAGCGGGTAGAATGGACCACTACTTTTGTGTGAAAAAATAAATACCAACATTTCCATTCTACCGATTTCGCTACAGGCGAAATTCAATATACATAAAAGGGGAGCTTCTGGCTTTTTATATCCTCCACCATACATAGTATGGTCATCGAAATAATAATTTTAGACCCAACAAAGTATATATATTCTTGATCAGCGTAAAATTCTAAGACGATTTGGCCCTTTCCGTCCGTCTGTTGTAATCACGCTACAGTCAAAACGAAAAATATAGGAAGCTAAAATTTTGCACAGATCTGTCTTTTGTCTGCAGGCAGGTCAAGTTCGAAGATGGACTATATCGGTCCACGATATCGTATAGCTTCCATATAACGGTACCCTTCGATATTCGGTATTTTTATGATTTTAGCCACATATTTCAACGGAACTGTCTGAAATTCTACACAAGGAGTTCCTTGTGTGCAATTTACGCCCTGAATGAGAATTGTCTATATATGTTCACGATATCGTATAGCCCCCATATAACGGTACCTCCCGATATTCGGTATTTTGATAATTTTAGCGACATTATTTACCAGAATTGTTTCAATTTTGGTATTTGAAGTTCGTAATGGATACCACATCCTAGGATAGAAAATGAAGCATGTAGGTCTACGTCTTCGTATAGCCCCCATATAACGGTACCCCCGATATTCGGTATTTTGATGACTTTAGCGACATTATTTACCGGAATTGTTTCAAATTTGGTATTTGAAGTTCGTAATGGAAATTACAGCATTAAACAGAAAATGGTCCATGTAGGTACACCTCTTCATATAGCCCCCATGTAACGGTACTCCCCGATATTCGGTATTTTGATCATTTTAGCGACATTATTTACCGGAATTGTTTCAGTTTTGGTATTTGAAGTTCGTAATGGAAACTACAGCATAAAACAGAAACATGTAGGTCCACCTCTTCATATAGCCCCCATGTAACGGTACCCCCCGATATTCGGTATTTTGATGATTTTAGCGACATTATTTACCGGAACTATTTCAAATTCGGTATTTGAAGTTCGTAATGGATGCTACAGCCTATGACATAAAATTGTCTGTGCAGGTTCAGGTCTTCGTATAGCCCCCATATAACGGTACCTCCCGATATTCGGTATTTTGATGATTTTAGCGATATTATTTACCGCAACTGTTTCACATTTTGTATTTGAAGTTCGATCTTCGGTATTTTTATGATTTTAGCGACATTTTTTTCATCGGAATTGTTTCAAATTTCACATTTGAAGATCGTGAAGTTCGATATAACAGCCTATGACAGTAAATTCTCTGTGCAGATCCACGTTTTATAACTACCATGGTACCTCCCTATATTCGGTATTTTGATGATTTTAGCTTTATTATAAACAGATTTTTTTTTCAAGTTTCGCATTTGAATATTGTAATAGCTTGTGACAAAAGGTCCACGTCGTCGTAAAGACTATAACATACGACTATATTAGGTATTTTCAAGATTTTAACAGAATTTTTAAGGGATTTTATTTTTTTGAAAATTGTTAAATTTGTACCAAATGGTGGAGGGTATTCAAAGTTCAGCCCGGCCGAACTTACTGCTTTTTTACTTGTTTATGCTGATTTCGCTGACGAATATAGCCAAATATCCTAGTCAAGCAAATCATATAGATAAGTGTAAATTTGGAGATACAGAGGAGCCTCTTGCTTTTGGAGGTGATCGGAAATTAGTTTGGGGTTCAAATGAACCAAAAACAGGAAAAAAAATCCTGATCACACAAGCTAATCGACACGCCTGAGAAGAGAGTTTAGGACAGAGAAGAATTCTACCATTTTGGATGACCATTGGATTATATTTAGCTTTAAAATGGACCACAACAACCAAAAGCACGACGGAGTGGGTAAATATTGGGCAAATGTCCCTGGTCAAAATGCCAAGGGTAATATCTGGGCAGAGCTCTGTGACATAATTTCAAAAGTGTAATCTTCCAAAATGGGTTTGGACATATGGGGACTTCTACCATTTTGTAGTGTTGTAGGATATCACATGGTCGGCCCCGCACGACTATAGCCTTCAATTACTTGTTTAGGGTTGTGGTTGTCATTTTTCCAATATTTTGTTCAAAAATGAGAGCCACAAGACAATGCCAAATTGGCTGGCAATTGCCTTTATCAATAATTATGCACTTCTACGTTGTCCTAAACTTCAATCCCATGCAAAGTTTTGACCTGTAGAGCAACTTTAAAATAAGCAAAAAATTAATCTGTGGGCGAACGTCGCCAAAAATCAAAAAGCTATTTTTCTAACCCTAAATCCATGCAATATTTCATGAGGATCGGGCCATAACTGCTATCTGAATCGTGATTACAAATTAATTTGGACTGACGAACAGATACACGGTCATGGCGAGATCGTCTTAGCTCACACATTGTGCTGTTGGCTATAATAACAAGGAGTGCTTAAAAATATTCTATAAGAAATGTAAACTATAAATGTGAAGAACTCATTTTATATGTTTAGACTAGCCTTTACCCTTACACTCAAAAAGCTACCAATATACCATACTTCAAGGTTCTTAGACTTAGTGCCTTTAATTCGATTTCAAATAAATAGATCTAAATACGCTACAGCTTGTGTCGCATACATTTTTTTGAATAATACACTTTTTATTTATTTTTATAAATCTTATACCCCTTTGATAAGTTAAAACCATTCTTTCTCTCTTTGCAGATTCCTACGATTCATCGTCGTCCCCGAATGGTTCCAGCTTGGATTGTCTCAATTTGATCGTTCAAAATATCAACAAATGTACGACAACAACGACTGGCATTAAGACAGCAACAATATCTCCGACAAATTTACATGGAACAACAACAACATATCCCACAAACAGTTTACATCACAACAGCAGCAGCAAAAGCAACAACAATAACAATATCAATGGCAGACATACAAGTTCCAGCAACAATATTTTCTCTGACATGTCAGTAAGAGGAGGATGCAGGATTGGTGGCGGTGGTAATGCGGCATTAAAAAATGCGACAAACACACGACTGGGGGGACTTGGACATGGATCACCAACAACACCGGCAATGGGTGTTGTTGTCGCAACAGTGACAACGGCAAACGCAACAACATCATCCGCAGCAGTCACAACAACAACATCAACTCATTCATCATTAAATGCAACATTTAAGCAGAAATGCACAACATGAAGAAGAAGAAGAAGAAACTGAGGAAGAAGAAGAAGATGATGAGAAAGAGGAAGCATATAACGATTGGTAAATCCCTAGACAGAATGATGGGCCGGAATATACATATATTTTCAATCTTTTCGTGTTGAGCGCGTCAAAACGAATGTGCCTATGTGTGGGGCCGACTAGAGATTAACCATAGGAGCAGAACAAACAAACCAAAGATTTAAACATAATTTAGAATAATGATATATATGTATGTAGAAATATTGTAAGATAGGAATAAAACAGAAAACAACTGTAAGATAAATTAAACAAAAAAAAATATTGTGATTTTTTTGTCGAAAAGGGAGGGAAATGGGCATTTATGTTAATGCAGACAATTTGGCGCCCAAACAAATAAACAAGAACTCCGTTGACGCGTCCAGGATGCCGCATATAAACTATTTAATTTAGACTTCTTCACATTGTCGTCCGAATTATGACTTGCAATATGATTATTCAAAATGTTGGTCCTTTATGGAGAAGATACCAAAGAAGTGGACCAATATTATACACTTCTCTCTATATATTACAACGTGCCTGATTTGTACTTCATCGACCTTCACTTTACATGATACTTTTTATACCCTCCACCATACTATGGAGGGTATATTAATTTTGTCATTCCGTTTGTTACTCCTCGAAATACTTATGTCAGACCCAACAAAGTATATATATTCTTGATCAGGGTAAAATTCTAAGACGATTTAGCCAATCACGCTATCTTTCGAGCAAATTGAGATAGAAGGCTGAAATTTTGCACACATGTATATTTTGCCAGTAGGCAGGTTAAGTTCGTAAATGGGCCATGTAGGTCCACGTTTTCATATAGCCCCCATATAACGGTACCTCCCTATATTCGGTATTTTGATGATTTAAGCGACATTATTCACGGGAATTGTTTCAAATTTGGTATTTGAGGTTCAAAATGGATACTACACTCTAAGACAGAAAATTGTCTGTGCAGGTCCACGTCTTCATATAGCCCCCATATAACGGTACCTCCCTATATTCGGTATTTTGATGATTTTAGCGACATTATTCACCGGATTTTTTTTCAAAATTGGTATTTGAAGTTCGTTATGGGAACTACAGTCTGTGACAGAAAATTGTCTGTGCGGGTCCAGGTCTTCGTACAGGCCCCATATATCAGTACCTCCCTATATTCGGTATATTGACGATTTTAGGTACAATACCCATCAAAATTGTTTGAGATATGGTATTTGAAGTTCGTAATGGATGCTACAGCCTGTGACAGAAAATTGTCTATACTGGTCCAGGTCTTCGCACAGCTCCAATTTAACGGCACCTACGATACGATATTTTGATGATTTTAGCTACATTATTCACCGTTTATATCAAGTTTCGAATTTGAATTTGGTAATGGCTTATGACAAACAATGCTTATGTATATCCACGTCGTATAGACCCCAAAATAACGGCTATATTCGGTATTTTTAAAATTTAAACAGAATTTTTTAAGGATTTTATTTTTTAAAAATTTCCAAATTCGTTGCAAATGGTGGAGGTTATTAAAAGTTCGGCCCGTCCGAACTTACAGCTTTTGTACTTATTATACCCTACAAAACATAGTGGTAAGGGTATTATGTCTTTGTGCATTTGTTTGTAACACGGAGAAGATAGCGAGGTAGACCCATAGTTACTTTTGAGAACATTCTTAGAATCACTTTCTGAGTCGATTTACGCATGTCAGTCCGTTTGTCCGTCCATCAATGTATTCTTGTGAACAAAATGCAGGTCGCATTAATTATCCAATTGAGATGAAATTTTGCAAACAATATTTTTTGGCCCAAGGACGAACTCTATTGAAATTGGTTATTATTGGATCAGATTTAGATATAGCTCCCATATATCTTCAACCTATTTCGGATTAATTGTGTACCAAATGGCTAATCTTAGTGAAAATGACCTGCATATTATTACATCCGACCGAATTCAGTCTAGAAGCAAGTAAATCATATTTGGTGAAAATCGGTTCAATATCGGTCCCATATAAATATTTCATCCGATTTGGGTTTTAAGTCCCTCATATGCGTAATATGTACTCCAGAAGAATGATATTTGGTACCCGACATCAGATACTGCTCGAAAATACCCCTGTTTAATTTTGTCGAGATCGGTTCAGATTAGGATATAGCTCCCATATATATCTTTATCCGATATCAGGTTTATTGTGCACCAAATGAACTGAATGAATTCATGAATTCATCGTATAAGTCAGTACTTATAATTTGGTGTAAATCGGTTAAGATATAGCTATGGCTGCCATAATTCTGGCAGTTACAACTGAATTCATCCTATAAACTAGTATTTCCAATTTGGTGTAAATCGGTTCAGATATAGCTATAGCTCCCATATATATCCTTTATCCGATTTGGGGTTTAAATATTAATTCCACAACAATGATCTTTAGTTCCAGATATCTTTTAGAGCTCGGAAATACCTCTGCCAAATTTTATCAAGATCGGTTCAGATTTGGATATAGGTTCCATATATATCTTCAACCGATTTCGGGTTAATTGGGCACGAAATGACCAATATCTGTCACAAATTCCTGAATTTTGGTACATCCGACCGAATTCAGTCTAGAAGCAAGTACATCAAATTTGGACAAAATAGCCAAAAGGGGTAAGCCATTATCTATCATTTTCACATCAGAACTTGCGTTAGTAAACATATTGGGATATGTAAAACTTGAAGAGAATCGGGTGCTTATGTCGCATTTTAATTATTCAAAATTTTTACCAATTTCTGGGGGGGGGGGGGGTACCAGAAGGGTTGGTCCGATATTGCCATCTCCGAACGCGATATACGACTGACAATAATATTACAATGTACCAAGTTTTCATCATATCGGATACTCCCTTTGAAAGTTATCTTGCGCACAAGCCAGACAGACGGGCGGAAGGATAATAAAGCGACTCCAAATGTCCGGAAACGGATTTGGTCCAAAGCGACTTTGGGTTTAAACCCGTAATTTCTATGATATACAGGGTTGCCCATATTCGACGGACCCATGACTCTTTGGTCAAAAGTTATGGCGTTGCCAGATGAGTCCGTCGAATATGGGCAACCCAGTACATCCTCCGTGGCCTTATGGATGAGGGTATAATAATCTCTTCAATATACTTCAAAAGATAAATGTAAATAACCCATAGAGAGGTTATATATCATTTGATACGGTCAAAACGTGCCTAGTCGAAATAACGGTTTTAGAATCTAGGTCTCTTTGGATCAAATCCATTTCGGAAAAAAATAAAAAATTACAACTCTTCTAAAATGTGATGTAAGAGTTCGATTGTCTTCAAATTTCACAAATACCAATACTTTTATTAACCCAAGGTCTAGTGTTAAGATGGAATATATCGGCCCACTTCTTCTAGTACCTCCCCCACAAAAGGTCGAAATTTTGAATTTCTATTTAGACTATCAACACAGGATATGTTATAAAGGCGGTATGGATAGGACCATTCCTTCTGGTAACTCCAACAACACCCCCCCCCCCAAATGGGACAAAGTTTTGAATAAGCAAAAATTTTATAAAATCGGAAATAAGCATCAGGTACTGTTTAAATTTCACACATTTCATTATTTCTACCAACACAAGATCTGTTGTGAAGATGGGATATATCGGTCCTCTCCTTCTGGTTCCTCCCCCTCCATCGAATCGAAAAAAACATATGCCAGATTTTCGAAAATGATATGCACTTCTTTAGGCAATGTACCTTGCTGTGGCACATGAGATCTTGATCTTTATTCGCCATTGTTATCGTTTTCTTCACATATACTAAAATTATCTGCCTCCAGATAAGGAGTAAAATATGTCTCAATTCTCCCTTGTTTAGGAATTTCCCAATGTCCAATGGAACCACAAATGAAAGATGAAGTTCCCACTTCACTGCCAACTGAATCGCATATTGGAAAACCGTCTGCGATGGATTTCAGTAACTGCATCATGTGAAAGAAGTTCTCCGATTTTGGCATAACATTATGATTATGTTCCAAACTCGTCATGATCAGGTCGGTACATTTTTCCAACTCTTCGAAATATTCCGAAATAATTGGATTTGAATTGATTTGCTCGTCCAGCTGGCGGATTTCATCGTTGGGTGTAAGATAACGAAAGTGCTGACAATAGGCCTGTATAAATGGACATCCATCTGTCTCGGAGCGTAGAGATAGAAAATTATTTGGTACACTATACAACACGGTGGTGTTACGCTTCAAATAACTGTTGTCGGTGACTGCTATGTTCTTCAACTCACTGTAGGTGGCCCATTCAATATCCGTCTCACCTCGACACTTGTTTATGACGAATTGTATTTCGGTGTGTTGTAGAAATTGGTTGTTTTGAATAGGCTTTATTACAGCTTCGGGAATATTAATTTGGCCATCGTTGGTGTAAAGAAGGCCATCCTGCCCACCGTGTGACATAAGGAATACCAAGAGGTTTTTTAGTGGACGAAAATCTTTACTGGATATATAATGAACGATTTCCAGAAGCTGATCCCGATTGCAATCTTCAATTAGTATATAGGGTATCCGGGCAATTTTCAATTCCCGAATTAGTTGTATGACATCCCGCTCACTACCCCTTCGCACAGTTAGGGGTTGGGTGAAATAATAATTATTAATTATTATGGCCAAGGCGGGGTTTATGCTGTACACGTACAAGTCAGCGGCCGTGCTGGAACTGGAGGTGACTGCACACCCTGCCGATGAGAAACTTTCCTGTAAAGCCCCCTCCAAAGGCTGCAAAATTTGTATTAGCACCGAAAATAACATCAAACCATGTGTCTGATATTGACACATATCGTCGTGTCGATACCACTGAACCAATATGCAATTATCCACATTAGACTCTCTGAACATCAACAAATCTCTCCGAGCCTCCGCCACATCAATGTTAATATTTTGATTGTAAAGTTGAAAAGTGTTTGCCGCCTTACATTGAATATAAGTTCCCAAATTTTGAAAGATATTTTTAATGCCCAACAATTTATTCCTTTGCTGGCTGGGGGACAATGTCGTTTTTTCATTCGATGTCATATTCGTATTGATCTGCAAATGATAACGATTCATTAAGACTTTGGATTTGTAACGCAAATGTGGATTCACCTCCATGGCTCTTATCACTTTGGCTAAAAAGCTATTCTGTTGCAGTAACACAAAAACACTGGCATATCCAATGAACTTGGAATTTCTCAACTGGTGTAGAATCTGTTCGGGTGATTGGCAGAGGAAATCAACTGCAGGTAAATTTTCAAAAAATCCACTGGACTCTGTGGTATGTTGCAGTTCTTCATGGGGATTTTGTAACAAAAATATAGCCACCTTAAGGCCTGCCTCACCCAGGGCTAATTCTTTGATTCCATGAAATTGCCATAGTGTTTTAGTAAGCGTTTCCAAAATACTTTGCTTTGGCTTGGTCGTCTGCGATTTTGGACATTTCCCCGGCATACGTTTGAATAAATTACTCTCTTTCTTTGCCGCCATACTCAACTCAACTGCCGCTGTGAGTAGAAAATAAAGCACTGGCTGGCTGAGCTTTAGCTTGCGAAGGCTCTCGGAATTTTATCAATGCACTTATCGATGAAATTCTCATTAATTTTTATACCCTTCACCATATATAGTATGGGGGGTATATTAAGTCCGTCATTCCAATAAAGTATATATATATTCTTGATCAGCGTAAAATTCTAAGAAGATTTAGTCCAGTCCGTCCGTTGGTCTGTCCGTCTGTTCTATTCACATTACAATCAAAACGAATTAAGATAGGAATCTAAAATTTTGCACAGATCTGTTTTTGTCAGCAGGCAGGTCAAGTTCGAAGATGGGCTATATCCGTCCACTATATCATATAGACCCCATTTAACGGTACCCCCCATTTTCGGTATTTTGATGATTTTAGAAACATTTTTCAATGGAATTGTTCAAAAATCCACACAAGGAGTTCATTGCGAGTACTTTATCCCCAAAAATAGAATTGTCTATATAAGTCCACAATATCGTATATCCCCCATATATGGGCAACTTCTGATATTCGGTATTTTTAATACTTTAATAGAATTTTTAATGTATTTTATTTTTTGCAAAATTTCCTAATTTGTTCCAAATGGTGGAGGGTATTCCAAATTCGGCCCGGCCGAACTTACTGCTTTTTTACTTGTTTTTTTTTTATTTATTTATTTTTTTTTTTTTTTTTTTTTTTGAGATAAAACTTGACGCTTTAACCATTGCGACACAAAATGTCGTATGCTCAGTCGATGACTAATGCAAACACCCGTTTGTTAGCTTGATTATGGTTCGGCATTTGTAATGGGGCAAGTAACGAAGTTCGTTTTAACAAGTAAAATAGTATCAGTCGGTTTTGTCGACAGATGTATACCCCCAGCCTTAAGTTATAAATGTGACATATTTGGATTATATAGACTACTTCTTGTGCTTCTTGAGATATGTGCATATTTTCGGAAATATGCGTCAGGTAACAGATATAGCGGACTGAAGCATTCCATTTTCATAATTCATCTAATACATATAATATATAATAATGGGTATATGCAAAATTTGAAGAAAATCGAACATTCGTATCCAATTTTATGCGAAATCATAAATTCCGACAATTTACATATTCATATCAGAATTCTGGTTAAGAGAAATATTTAGATATAGCAAGTTGTTAAGAATCACCGACTTGTTTCGCAAGTTATGGCAACTATAAGTTGGCAGATTTTGTGTTGATGAAAATATTGAGAAGCTCCAAGTCTGAATAGAATCGAATGTTAAATTTGCGTTTTAGAGCTTCATGGATACTAAATATTTTGATCTTTTGTGGGGGAGGTACCAGATGGAGTGGACCGATGTATTCCATCTTGGCACCGGACCTTGGGTTAATAAAATTATTGGGATATGTGAAATTTGAAGACAATCGGTCTCTTACATCATCCAAGTCTGAATAGAATCGGATGTTAATTTTTCGTTTTATGAGCTTCATGGATGCTCAAAATTTTGATTCTTTGTGGGAGAGGTACCAGAAGGAGTGGACCGATATATCCCATCTTCACACCAGATCTTGAGTAAGTAGAAATAATGGGACGTGTGTAATTTGAAGAGAACCGGATGTTTATTTCGGATTCTTTGCTCGTTTTGATTATTCAAAACTTAGGTCCTTTGTGTGGGAGGTACGAGAACGAATAGTTCGAGCGTTTATAAAAATTTTGAGACGTGCTAAGTCTGAATGGAATCGGATGTTAATTTAGAGTTTTAAGAGCTTGATGTATATTAAAAATTTCGACCTTTTGTGGGGGAGGTACTTGATGGAGTGGACCGATATATTCCATATTAACATCAGACCTTGGGTTAACATAAATATTGGCATGTGTGAAATTTGAAGACAATCGGACTCTTATATCACATTTTATAAGAGTTGTAATTATTCAAAATTTTGACAATTTGTGGGGGAGGTACTTGATGGAGTGGACCGATATTTTCTATGATATTTTCTTGACCTAGAACTGACGCAAATATTAAGATTTGCAAAGTTGAGGCAAAATCGGATTACCGTTTCTCTTTCTGGGCAAAAAAATTTTTTTTTTGAAAATTTGACCTTTGCCCATCTCCGAACTCGATATAAGTTTGACAAAAATATTACGATATACCAAGTTTGGACCAAATTGGATAAACCCTTCGAGAGTTATCGTGCGCACCAGCCAGCCAGACAGACAGACGGACGGACGGACGGACGGACATCGCTAGATCGTCTCAAAATGTTCTGAAACGGATTTGGTCCAAAGAGACATAGGGTCTAAAACCGTTATTTCGACAAGGCACGTTTTGACCGTATCAAATGATATATACCCTCTGTAGCCATATGGCTGTACTCATGTATTTAGTACAATTTGAATTTGGAGAAAATTGGAGCTGGAATCTTGAAGTTTGAAATTAATATTATTGGCGGAGTGTAGGATCAGGATATGGAGGAAGTTTTCGAAATTTGTATTTACGTGCACAAAAAGTACTAAGTGGTGCTAAATTTAGTACAATTTCAATTCGGGTGAACAGTTAGAGCTTGAAGTCTGACATTTAGATATAAGATTACCATTGCATTCTACTACTGAGTAATCTAGGCACTTTTGGAAATTCGGACTTATGTGTACTAAATAGTAGTAAATTTGGTACAATTTAAAATTTTGAGAGAACCAATGGAGTTGGAATCCTCAAATATGGAAATACGATTAATATTGCATTGTACGACTGAGGTATGTAGGTAGTTTTCGAGATTTGTACTAATGTGTACTAAATGGCTCAATTTAAATTTTGGGTGATCCGGTAGTGTTGGAATTCTGAAATTTAACAAGTAAAAAAGCAGTAAGTTCGGCAGGGCCGAACTTTTAATACCCTCCACCATTTGGTACAAATTTGGCTATTTCCAAAAAAAAAAAAAAAAAAAATTAAATCCGTTAAAAATTCTGCTAAAATTTTAAAAATACCGAATGCTTATACGACGACGTGGACCTGCATAGGCAACTTTTGTCATAAGTTATTACAATATTTAAATGCGAAACTTGAAGAAAAATCTGTTGATTATGTAGCTAAAATCATCAAAATACCGATTATAGGGGGTACCGTTATATGGGGGCTATACGAAGACGTGGACCTGCACAGACAATTTTCTGGCATGGTCTGAAGTATCCATTACGAACTTCACATGCGAAATTTGAAACAATCCCGGTAAATAATGTCGCTAAAATCATCAAAATACTGAATATCGGGGGATACGGTATATGCTATACGAAGACGTGGACCTACATGGCCCATTTTCTGTTTTATGCTGCAGTATCTATTACGAACTTCAAATACCAAATTTGGAACGATTCCGTTAAATAATGTGGCTAAGATCATCAAAATACCGAATATCGGGGCGTATTGTTATATGGGGGCTATATGAAAACGTAAACCTACATGGCTCATTTTTTTGACTTAGGATGTAATATCCGTTACGAACATCAAATACCAAATTTGAAACGATTTCGGTAAACAATGTCGCTAAAATCATCAAAATACCGAATATCGGGGGGTACAGTTATATGGGGGCTACACGAAGACGTGGACCTGCACAGATAATTTTCTGTCTTAGGTTTTAGTATCTATTACGATCTTCAAATGCCAAATTTGAAACAATTCCGGTGTATAACGTCGGTAAAATCATCAAAATACCGAATATCGGGAGGTACCGTTATATGGGGGCTATATGAGAACTTGGACCTACATGGCCCATTTACGAACTTAACCTGCCTACTAGCAAAATATACATGTGTGCAAAATTTTAGTCTTCTATCTCAATTTGTTCGAAAAATAGCGTGATTACAACAGACAGACAGACAGACAGACGGACAGACGGACAGACAGACAGACAGACAGACGGACATGGCTAAATCGTCTTAGAATTTTACGCTGATCAAGAATATATATACTTTGTTGGGTCTGACATGAGTATTTCGAGGAGTTACAAACGGAATGACAAAATTAATATACCCTCCATAGTATGGTGGAGGGTATAAAATAACATTTATATTGGACTTTATGATATAGTTAGTTATGAAACTTTGTACTTAAGTGTACTAAATTTGGTATTATTTGGATTTGGGTGAACCAATATTTAGGTTATTTTAGTTGTTATTCACTAAAATGTACTAAATTTGGTACAATTTGGATTTAGATAGAATCCGTAAATTTGTAATTAAGATTACTATTGTAGTGTAGGATTGGGCTATGTAGGAAACTGTGGAAATTCGCATTTATCTTTACTATATGGTATTACATTTGCTAGATTGGGAATTGTGATGAACCGATGGAGCTGTAATTCTGAAATTTGGAATGAGACTCACTGATGCAGTGCAAGAGAGACCCACAAAAGGGTTATGGGAAATTCGAACTTTAAATTTAGAAAATGATCTAAAATGTTACTAATTTTCTAAAATGGTACCATTTGGTATAAATAACCATTTGTGGAAATAAAGCGAGGAACCTCATTATACCCTCCACCTTGGAAAGGAGGGTATATTAACTTTGTCATTCCCTTTGTAACATCTTAAATATTCGCCTTAGACCCCATAAAGTATATATATTCATACATTTTTTCACTAATTTGTCTAAAAATTGGTATTTGTGGGTCATAATGGGTCCTAGTTCGTGTGGCGAAACATTGTAATTATAGGTTTACGTTTTGGTGTAGCCCCCATATAACGGTACCTCCCGATATTCGGCATTTTAATGGTTTTTGCCACATTTCTTTTAATGTTTCTTTTACCCTAAGGTGGAGGGTATTAAAAATTTGGCCCGGCCGAACTTAATGTTTTTTTACTTGTTTTGTAATCATTTTTGGTCGGCGCGTGCTGAGTCCCGTTGGAATGTCCAAGGTCTGCCTCCAATATGTTTGCATGCCCAAGGCTTTAATACGCTGACCTCTTTTGCAAGTAAACACGATCATTTTGTTTGTTTACAAACTGCTGGACAACGAATGTTTTCTCATCGGAGAAAACCAAATTCGGCAGTTCAACACTTTCGGCCAAGCGAAGCAACTCTTTAGCTTTTTTTAGTCTATTTTCTTTCCGTTGCGGTGTAAGTTCTTGCACTTTTTGGAATTTCAATGGCTTTACACCGAGCTCATTTTTCAATATTTGACTTTGAATGGAATATTGCGATATGTTCAGCTCCCGGGCCATTTCTTCTTCTTTACGTTTCGAACCATTTCTGCTGATGTTGCTGTTTTCTTCCGTCCACTTCCTTGACGTCTGGCTACGCTTCTAGTATCACGGTAACGAGTGATGGTACGAGACACAAAAGATTTATTTACATTTAAATGCTGGAGTGCTCTAACGTTATCCACTTGTGGTTTCAAAGCCAAATATAAAGAAATCACACTATCACGCTTGAATCCCGTCACGAATAACTTTTTTTCTGGAAAATTCTCACCAAAATGCTTTTGTACGCTTGTAAAAAACATAATGAGCTGTCACTGGAAAAATTGTAACAGCTGAAGAACGAGTGCCTTAAAAATGACAGCGGTCTGAAGTTGGTTGCAGGAAATGTGTACTTTAATTGTAACAAGTAAAACAGCTGTTCGGGCCGAACTTTTAATACCCTCCACCATTTGGTACAAATTTGATAATTTCCAAAAAAAAAACAAGTTAAAAAGCAATAATTTCGGCCGGACCGAACTTTGAATACCCTCCACCATTTGGAACGAATTTGGAAAATTTCAAAAACTAAAGTCCTTAAGAAATTCTGTTAAAATTTTGAAAATACCGAATATAGGCGCTATATTGGGATCTATACGACGTGGACCTACATAGGTCTTGCTTGTCATAAGCCATTACCATATTCAAATTCGAATCAATTTTCAGTCACAAGCTATAGCATCCATTACGAACGTCAATACGACATCTCAAAAAATTTCGTTGGGTATTGTACCTATCATCAAAATACCGAATATCGGCAGGTACCGTTGTATGAGGGCTATATGAAAACGTGGACCTACATGGCCCATTTACGAACTTAACCTGCCTACTGGAAAAATAAACACGTGTGCAAAAATTTAGCTTTCTAGACAGACAGACGTACAGACAGACAGATGGACAGACAGACAGACAGACAGACAGACGGACATGGCTAAATCGACTTAGAATTTTACGCTGATCAAGAATATATATACTTTGTTGGGTCTGACATGAGTATTTCGAGGAGTTACAAACGGAATGACAAAGTTAATATACCCTCCATGGTATGGTGGAGGGTGTAAAAAACAATAAAATAAAAAATAAAATCCGTTAAAAATTCTATCAAAATCTTAAAAATTCCGAATGCCTATACGACGACGTGGACCTGCATAGGCAACTTTTGTCATAAGTTATTACAAGATTTAAATGCGAAACTTGAAGAAAAATCTGTTTATAATGTAGCTAAAATCATCAAAACATAGGGGGTACCGTTATATGGGGGCAATACGAAGACGTGGACCTGCACAGACAATTTTCTGACATGGGCTGAAGTATCCATTACGAAGTTCACATGCGAAATTTGAAACAATCCCGATAAATAATGTCGCTAAAATCATCAAAATACCGAATATCGGGGGGTACGGTATATGGGGGCTATACGAACACGTGGACCTACATGGCCCATTTTCTGTTTTATGCTGCAGCATCTATTACGAACTTCAAATACCAAATTTGGAAAGATTCCGTTAAATAATGTCGCTAAAATCATCAAAAATAATGAATACCGGGGGTACCGTTATATAGCGGCTATACGAAGACGTGGACCTACACAGATTATTTTCTGTCTTAGGCTGTAGTATCCATTACGAACTTCAAATGCCAAATTTGAAACAATTCCGGTGAATAATGTCGCTAAAATCATCAAAATACTGAATATCGGGAGGTACCGTTATATGGGGGCTATATAATAACTTGGACCTACATGGTCCATTTACGAACTTAACCTGCCTACTGGCAAACTATACATGTGTGCAAAATTTTAGCCTTCTATTTTAATTTGTTCGAAAGATAGCGTGATTACAACAGACAGACGGACAGACAGACACACAGACGGACATGGCTAAATCGTCTTAGAATTTTACGCTAATCAAGAATATATATACTTTGTTGGGTCTGACATGAGTATTTCGAGGAGTTACAAACGGAATGACAAAATTAATATACCCTCCATAGTATGGTGGAGGGTATAAAAAAGGAACAGAATGGTAGTACATTCTGCATGTATTGGGTGAAGGGATCGAGATACAATTCAGAAATTTGATATTTAGATTTCTAGTCGTATTTGTGTTTGAGATTTGGCGATGGCTTGGAAATTCATCCTGAATTTATACGAAAAGTTGTATATGGTACTAAATTTGACATTGAGTGAATATACAGATCTGAAATCTCGAAATTTGATATTGGAGCTATGTTGGTATATGTGGAGGTGGTTTTGGAAATGTGTACCATATTTGTACTAAACGATACTAAATTTGGTATTTGATATAGATGTAACGGTTGGTGTCAGTGGCTAAGATATGGAAGTGGTTTCCAAATGGTGTACTTGTTTTGTACGATAAGTACTAAATGGTAGTAAATTTGGTATTGGGTGAAAAGAATTCTCAAATTTGATATTGAGGTTTCTGTTGGGATTGGAAATTTAGATGTGGAAGTGATTTTGGGAATGTGTTTGGGAATAGTTCGATAAGTACTAAGTAGTACTAAATTTGGTTTTGGGAGAATGTATAAAACTGGAATACTAAAATTTGATATTGAGGTCTCTCTTGGTATCTTGTGTTGAGATATGGAGGTTGTGTTGCAAATGCGTGCTATAATTGTTCGAAAAGTACTAAATGGTACTAATTTTGGATCACAGTAAATTCGTTTTGGATTACCGTACTAAATTTGGTATTGGGTGAGGAGAAAGTCAATGTTGATTTCTAGGGCTTACATTTGGAGATTTGGAAATAGTTTTGGGCAGAAATATTGGATGTGGGTGGGTCCATTGTGCAATAATTATACCCTCAGCCATATGGCTACAGAGGGTATATATCATTTGATACGGCCAAAGCGTGCCTAGTCGAAATAACGGTTTTAGACCCTAGGTCTCTTTGGACCAAATCCGTTTCAGAACATTTGGAGTCGATCTAGCGATGTCCATCCGTCCGTCTGTCTGTCTGTCTGGCTGGTGCGCACGATAACTCTCGAAGGGAGTATCCGATTTGGTCCAAATTGGCTACAACGTAATATTTTTGTCAAACTTAGATCGAGTTCGGAGATGGACAAAATCGGTCCACTCGAAATGTTCAAAAAATATATTCTTTGCACAGAAAGTGAAAGGATAATCCGAATTTGCTCCAACTTTGCAAATCCTAATATTTGCGTCAGTGCTAGGGCAGGTGTGGAAATGGACAATATCGGTCCACTCCATCAAGTACCTCCCCCACAAATGGTCAAAATTTTGAATAATTACAACTCTCATAAAATGTTATGTAAGAGTCCGACTGTCTTCAAATTTCACACATCCCAATATTTATATTAACCCAAGGTCTTGTGTTACGATGAACAATATCGGCCCACTCCTTCTGGTACCTCCCCCACAAAAGGTCGAAATTTTCAAAAAAAAAAAAAACAAATTTTTTGCACAGAAAGAGAAAGGCTAATCCGAATTTGCTCCGATTTTGCAAATCCTAATATTTGCGTCAGTGCTAGGACAGGTGTGAAAATGGACAATATCGGTCCACTCCATCAAGTACCTCCCCCACAAAATATTGAAATTTTGAGTACCCATGAAGCTCATAAATCGCTAAATTAACATCCGATTCCATTTAGACTTGGCACATCTGTCGAAATATTTATATCATATTTTGGGTCCGATAGGAAATGGGCAATTTTGGCCCATTTCTTCGGGATCTGCTCCATAGAGGGTCAAACGTTTGAATAACCTTAACACTAGTCAAAATATATTTAGATAATCGAACATAGGCTGAGGGTATATCTCTGGCGGCAATACCGACTGATACTTTTTAACTTGTTTTTTTTTTAAATCCTCCAAGATAAAATTGAAAATTAATTATTTTGAAGACTTTTTGGTGTAAAAGTTTTGACTTAGAAATGCTGTCAAACTTAAAAAATTGTGAATTTGTTTTGTTTGTTTAATCTAAAATTATAAGGTTGAGGATCTAAAATTACCAAGATGATTGCCAATAATTGGTTAGGAAATTCATTTCTTCTGGATGGTTGTTAAATACATACAATTCTAATTTATATGTTTAATATATACAATCCTCAAATACTAATCCACATTTAATTTACGAAATGAACCATTCAAACCGGATAACAAGGAAATCTCCAAATTGTTTCCAATGCTAACTCGTAGTTTTTCATTCGTTCCATAATTATCATCTGTGGCAAAGTAGTCCTGGTATTTCAGCATTATTAACTCCCAATGTTTTAGAGCTTCGAACTGATAGCCATTATGACCGCCATATTCCACGGGCATGGCATCTCGCGGTATATGGGCATACAAATCCTCCGCTTTTTCATGCAACACAAACTAAAAAGTAAAAATAGGAACACAATACCAAAATGAAGTCATTAATCCAATTTTGTGTCCACATACCTTTGTGCAAAGTTTTTTGGGTAGGAACGATGTGATGAAATTAAAAATGGTCCGCCTCTCTTTGTGCACATTAAGCAAATGGATCTCCTTGAATTCCAAAGGAAAACAATGTTCCATCAGCATCCAGGTTTTCTTCAGCAATGAAGGATGATATTGCATCATTTGTTCCATGTAGACATCACGGGCATCCACAATGTATACGATTCCGGTTGCACCGGCAGTCACCTCCTCCATGGTCAGGATTTCCAATAGCATGAAGAGTAATTTAAATATATCGTTGGCATTACATATCTTTGGATCATATTTGCTATACTGTGATATGACAAAACGAGGACCATCGCTGGATGTTGCTTTCAGAGATATTGTGTGGATGCTGTTAGGAGAGAATTTCAACCGGACTTTTAATACCATTTGGGAGGAACTTGCAAAATGTAAAGAAATTGCATTGAAAAATGCTGCTAAATGTTAAAGATTTCGAATATCTGAAGGTACACTTATTTAAGGGCTATACGAAAACGTGTATAGGAGGCGGGGCCTATTACGAACTGCAAATGCCATTCTGTAGAGATAATTCTGTAGAAAAATTTAGCTAAAATTCTTAAAATACCGAATAAAGTAAGGTACCGTTATTTCCGAATCATTCATAAAAATACCGAATATAAAGAGATACCCTTATATGGGGACTATATCAAAAATTGAACATATATAAACGGTTCTCTGCAAGATTGTTTCCTATATACTGGAAACAAAGCTGCCAATTTACAGAAAATTAAGGTTGAAATTGTGACAACCAAATAGCCCATTTTCAATACCAGAAGTGCAGACAAACACCAGTAAAGAAAGGACAAAAATCGGACCGTCCGACTTTACGAAATTAAAATAATTCTGGTAAAAAAAATCATCAAATACCGAAGTTGAGGAGAGACATCAATATAGGGCCATACGAAGCTATGGATTTTTATGGACAATTTTCTGCCATAGGAAGTAGTACCCATTACGAACTTGGAATAAAAAAATTTTAAACCATTCCGAATCATTCATAAAAATACCGAATATATGGAGATACAGTTATATGGGGACTATATCAAAACTTAAACCTATACTATAAACAGTTATCTGTAAGGGTGTTTCCTATATATTGGGAACAAAGCTGCCAATTTACAGAAAATTAAGGTTGAAATTGTGACAAGCAATCGATTTTAAATCTGCCGGTAAAATATATGGGAGCTATACCAGAACGTGGATCTAAATAGCCCATTTTCAATACCAGAAGTGCAGACAAAAACCAGTCGGTCCATCCGACTTTATAATACCCTACACCACTTTGCATATTCAGTAGAGAATTTATGAGAATTTATACCAAATATAATCGTTTTTGAGTAGATATTATGGTTTCGAAGCCGAAAGCAACTAATATATGGGAGGAATATTTACCTCTTAATTTCTAAATGAAATTTGACAAAATCGGATAAAACATATATATGGGTCCTATAGCTATATCTTAACCGATTTTCACCAAATTCGATACACTTTTTATACCCTACAAGACTATGTGTTGGGGGTATTATAAGTTTGATTGGGCCAAAAATTATGTAACACCACGAAATATTGGTTTCCCACATAGGAAAGTATATATGGGTCTTCCTAGCTCGCCGAGCTGAGTCGATCTAGCTATGTATGTCCGTCCGTCCGTCTGTCCACGTTAATTTGTAATCAAGCTACAGTTCGCAATTATCAACCGATCCTCACGAAATTGAAAATGGAGGTGGGGTTAGGGTCAGAACCCTATTGTTTTTGGAGATGGTCGCACTATATTTAGGGGTTAAAATGGACCAAAAACAGGAAAATTTCCTGATTTTGCAGTTGCTCTATAGGTCACAATTATGAACCTATGGCAGAAACCTACCAATTTGAGCGGCCTTCGGACAATAATTAGCGGGTAAAATATACCTTAACTTTTATGTTAGAAAATAGGAAAATTTTCACTAAACCACTAATATTTTTAATCCCAGCCAAATCACAAATACATTAAAAGATTACTTCTGACCATTAGGGTGATGCTGATAGCCAAGAAATCGGATATATAGCAAAATAGGTACAATACATATGTAAAAGAATTGATCTTATTTATTCTGCTTATAAATCAAGAACCGCTGGGCCGATTTTCACAATTCACATCACTTTGGAATGGTCTCTTGCCAGAAAAGGATAAAATCTAAGAAAATCGCGGGTTAATATACGAATAAAAAATTATATCTTTTGTCTCATTTTTTTTCATTTTTGTCATATTTTTTATCGCATGCGATTTTTTTAATTTGACCTACAATTTTGAATTTTCTAAATTTTTACACACCCAACACTACGTTTTGAGGGTATTATATGTACGTCGCAATTATCGTCCGATCCTCACGAAATTTTGCATGGGGGTGGGTTGGATTTGAAGCCCATTGTTCTTAGGATGTGCATTTAGAGGTTGAAATGGCTAAAAAATTTAAAATTTTTTTAATTTTGCAGTCGTTCTATAGGCCAAAATTGAAAACTAATTGACACGGAATTTCGCATAGGAAGAGAATTGAGGACAGAGAAGAAGTCTAGTATTTTGGATGACCATTGGATTATATTTAGCTGTAAAATGGACCACAACTTTCGTGTGCAATTATTTTGAATACTTCACAATACTACGGAGTGCGTAAATATATGGCCAAATTCTCCGGGTCAAAAACCTTAGGGTAACCTCTGGGCATTATTTCAAAAACGAAATCTTCCAAAATGGATTTACATATAAAGGGACTTCGAACATATTGTAGTGTTGTAGGGAATCACATGGTCGGCCCCGCACGACTATAGCCTTTGCTTACTTGTTTCTAGACTGAATTGGTTCGTATGTGCCAAAAACCATCAAATTCGGGCATATATTAAAAATTTGGTGCACGAGAAACTTGAAATCGAGTGTATACATATATGTGAGCTACATCGAAATCTGAAACGATCTCGATCAAATTTGGTAAAGGTATTTCTGAGCTGTATTTGGCACATACGAACAAATTCAGTCTAGAAAAATGTATCGAATTTGGTTAAAATCGGTTAAGACAAGACTTTGAACACCCTCCACCATTTAAAACGAATTTGAAAATTTTCAAAAAAATAAAATCCGTTAAAAATTCTATTAAAATACTGAAAATACCAAATATAGGGAGGTACCGTTATATCGGAGCTATACGAAGACCTGGACCTGCACAGACAATTTTCTGTCACAGTCACACAGTACCTATTAGGAACTTCAAATACGACATCTCAAACAATTTCGATTAATATTGTACCTAAAATACGGAGTATAGGGAGGTAGTGATATATGGGACCTATACGAAGACCTAGACCTGTATAAACAATTCCCTGTCACAGACAGTAGTTCCCATTACGAACTTAGAGGAAGCTTCTTCGGAGGACTTTCAGACAATTTCATTGTAAAATTTGGCTACAATCACCACAAAATCGAATATCGGTGGTACCGTTACATGGGGGTTATACGATATCGTGGACCTATACAGGGTGAAATAAAAAAAATTGCAACAAAGTCAAACTTTTAATTTTTTTTAATGTTATTGAACGAAAGCAAAAAAAAAAGTCGGAAATAGCATCACATTTTACAATAAGTTTAGATTTGTTCAAATTGGCCTTTAAACGGCCAATTAAACGGTCACACGCTGCCCGAATGTTGCTTTGCGGTATTTGGGCCCATTCCCGGCGAAGCGCTTGCTTGAGGTGATTAACACTTTGGTATTTTTTAGTGCCAACCTTGGTTTTCAAAATACTCCAGACACAATAGTTGAACGAATTGGTATCCGCAGATTTTGGTGGCCATTGTGCGCAGAAAACAAGTTAAAAAGTTTCGGTCGGTTTTGCCGACAGATGTATACCCTCAGCCAATGTTCGATTATTTTAAAATCTTTTGACTTCTTGTTTGATTGATAAAATGTTTAAACCTTTATGCAGTTGATTCCGAAGGAATTGGCCAATATTAGCAATTTCTTGTCGGACAAATAAATATGATATGATATAAATATTGCGAAGTGCTAGGTTTGGACTGTGTTGTGTTAATGGAAATTTTTGGATGTTCCAAGTCATGAATAGAATCGGATGTCAATTTCCCTTTTTGTGAGCTTCATGGATTTCAAAATTTTGAGCCTTTGTGTGGGGAGGTACCAGAATGAGTGGACCGATATATCCCATCTTCACAACGGATCTTTTGTTAGTGGAAATAATGGGATGTGTGAAATATAAAGAGAGCCTGATTTCAGGTTTTATAAATGTTTTGGTTATTCAAAACTTTGACCCCTTGTGGTGGAGATACCAGAAGAAGTGGTCCGATATATTCCATCTTAACACTAGATTTTGGATTTAGAAAAATATATGAATGTGTGAAATTTTAAGACAGTCGGATTCTAACATCACATTATAATTATTCAAAATGTTTACCCTTTGTGGGGGAGGTACTTGATGAAGTGGATAAATAATATCCATTTTTGTACCAGACCTAGAACTGACGAAAATAGTAGGATTTGCCAAGTTGGAGCAAACCCGGATTGCCGCTTCTCTTTCTGCGCAGAAAAAAATATTTTTTTTGACCTTGTATGGGGGAGTTACCAGAAATAGTGGACCGATATTGTCTATTTTAACACCAAAACATGGGTTAATATAAATATTGGGATGTGTGAAATTTGAAAACAATCTGGCTCTTACATAAAATTTTATGAGAGTTGTAATTATTCAAAATTTTGACCATTTGTGGGGGAGGTACTTGATGGAGTCGACCGATATTGTTCATTTTCACACTTAACCTAGCACGGATGCAAATATTAGGATATGCAAAGTTGGAACAAAATCAGATTATCCTTTCTCTTTCTGTGCAAAAAATATTTTTTTTGAAAATATCGACCTTTTGTGGGGGAGGTACCAGAGGGAGTGGACCAATATATTCTATCTTAACACCAGAGCTTGGGTTAATATAAATATTGGGATGTGTGAAATTTTAAGACAATCGGACTCTTACATCATATTTTATGAGAGTTCCAATTATTCAAAATTTAGACCATTTGTGGGGGAGGTACTGGATGGAGTGGACCGATATTGTCCATTTTCACACTTGACCTAGCACTGACGCAAATATTAAGATTTGCAAAGTTGGAGCAAAATCGGATTATCGTTTCTCTTTCTGTGCAAAAAATAATTTTGTTTGAAAATTTCGACCTTTTGTGGGGGAGGTACCAGAAGGAGTGGACCGATATTGCCCATCTCCGAACTCGATCTAAGTTTGACGAAAATATTACGATGTTCCAAGTTTGGACCAAATCGGATACTCCCTTCGAGAGTTATCGTGCGCACCAGCCAGCCAGACAGACAGACGGACGGACGGACGGACATCGCTAGATCGACTCCAAATGTTCTGAAACGGATTTGGTCCAAAGAGACCTAGGGTCTAAAACCGTTATTTCGACTAGGCACGTTTTGACCGTATAAAATGATATATACCCTCTGTAGCCATATGGCTGAGGGTATAATGAAGCGAGGAACCTCATTATACCCTCAGCCATATGGCTACAGAGGGTATATATCATTTGATACGGTCAAAACGTGCCTAGTCGAAATAACGGTTTTAGCCAGTATGTCTCTTTGCACCAAATCCGTTTCAGAACATTTGAAGTCGATCTACCGATGTCCGTCCGTCCGTCCGTCCGTCCGTCCGTCTGTCTGTCTGTCTGTCTGTCTGTCTGGCTGGCTGGTGCGCACGATAACTCTCGAAGGAAGTATCCGATTTGATCCAAACTTGGTACATCGTAATATTTTTGTCAAACTTAGATCGAGTTCGGAAATGGGCGATATCGGTCCACTCCTTCTGGCACCTCCCACACAAAATGTCAAAATTTTCAAAGAAACGAATTTATTGCACAGAAAGAGAAAGGATAATCCGATTTTGCTCGAACTTTGCGAATCCTAATATTTTCATCAGTGCTATGTCAGGTGCGAAAATGGACCATATCGGTCCACCCCATCAAGTACCTCCCCCACAAAGGATCAAAATTTTGAATAATTACAACTCTTATAAAATGTGATTTAAGAGTCCGATAGTCTTTAAATTTCACACATCCCATTAATTTTATTAGACCAAGGTCTGGGGTGAAAATGGAATGTATCGGTCCACTCCTTCTGGTACCTCCCCCTAAAAAGTAGAAATTTTCAAAAAATATTTTCTGCACAGAAAGAGAAACGATAATCTGATTTTGCTCGAACTTTGCAAATCCTAATATTTGTGTCAGTCCTAGGTCAGGTGCTAAAATGGACAGTATCGGTCCACTCCATCAAGGACCTCCCCCACAAAGGGTCAACATTTTGAATAATTATAACTCTTATAAAATGTGATGTAAGGATCCGAACGTCTTCAAATTTCACACATTCCAATATTTTTATAAACCCAAGATCTGGTGTTGACATGGAATGTATCGGTTCACTCCTTCTGGTACCTCCCCCACAAAGTGTCGAAATTTTGAATATCCATGAAGCTCATAAAACGTTAAATTAACCGGTACCTCACCCACAAAGGGTCACAATTTTCAATAATTTTATCTGTCATAACTTTCGAAACAATTTAGCAATTCTTTACTACTTGCTATGCACAAATATTTCTCTCAATAAGAAGCCTGATATGAATATGAAATTTATCGGAATTTATGATTTCGCATAAAATTTGACATAAATATCTTGTAATTTTGCCTCATATTTCGCCCAATATTTTTTATTTGTATCAGATGAATTATAAAAATGGAATATTTCGGTAGACTCTATATGGTACGTCACGCACATTTTAACATTTTCTAAAAATTATTACATATCTCATATAAAGTGAAGGAGTAAGTCGATATAATCCATACCAGGAACGTCGGAATATTTATATATACGATACGAAATGGACAATATTGGTCCATTCCTTCGGAACCTGCTTCATAGAGAGCCAAACGTTTGAATAATTGTAACACTAGTCAAATATATTTTGATCATTTAATCGAACATAGGCTGAGGGTATATTTCTGTCGGCAATACCGACTGATACTTTTTAACTTGTTTTTATCCATTCTTGGGTGGCGCATGCTGAGTGCGACGGTGCTGAGTCCTTTGCTCTGATGAGGCCAAATAGAAAGAAATCACACTGTCACGCTTGAATTTCATCACGAATAATTTTTTTCTGAAAAATTCTCACATAAATGTTTATGCTTAATATACCCTGCTTAATATACCCTCCATTCTATGTATACAAATGCAAAATAAGGGAAATCAAATCGGTTTATGATCAATTTTCTCTCCTACATATTTTGCGTACCCCAAAATTCCAAAAACTTCTATCTACACCCTAGCAGTATACAATCAGTAAAAGGTAATTGATTACATTTGTGTCAACGTTTTTTCTTCTTACCCTTGCCTGTACAGTGTCATCATATGGTCGTCCAAGCGGCGATTCATTAAAACTTCTGGAAAAACACCCTTCAGGGAATAAAAACTATCCAAACGTTTCTTCGTCTCATTCAAATCGAAACGACAATAGCGTAAAAATGCCAACAGCGATTTCGGATCCGGTCGGGCCTTTAAATGTGGTGTCTTCTTAAGCCAACTCTGCAGAGAGGCCAAACTGGTATCACATATATCCTTACTGCCATTGCTTGTTGTCTCGGTTGTTATTTCCACTTCGGAACGGGGCGATTTGGGCATTTGTTATGGACGTTGGACGTGGTATAACCTCGACGGTGGCTAGATTTTAACTGATAATGTTTCCCCTAATTTACATATATTCAATCAATTTTCAGGAACAGCAGCAGCGCCAGCAGATAAACAAACGTCAGACATTGTCGGATTTCTATGTCCATGCAAAGTAAAATGGTCTCTTATCGCTGTAGATGTGTGAAACATGTTTTTGCGATAAAAGCAAGTCTGCTTTTCCAATCGTTTCGCTGAATTGCAATCATTGTGGGGGTGCGAATGCGAATACTGACATTGTGTGGAACATCTGCGTAGTCGCGATAAGAAACAAAATGTTTAGCTAATTTAATCAATCAAATATATTGAATGATTAGTCATTTTTGCTGAAGACATGTACTCTGGGCTTACCTTTGGCAGCAAAAAATAGGATAGCAAAAATAATTGTAACTTTTTGCAAAACAACGTCCTGGGCCCTTTTTAGCAATATCGATTTTCAAAATGTGGTCAAGGCCCTCGTAATAGGTTGTAACTCTTTATATGCGCTACTATGAAACATTCACCTACATTGAACATTTTTTGCGAAGAGGTTTCCTACCCCCTTAGAAGACATGATGCCAAATAAGGACCACATCAATTAAACCAGTAAAGAAAGTCTTAAAGTCGGGCGGGGCCGACTTTATCATACCCTACACCACTTTACTAATTTAGTAGAGCTCCGCATAACAATTCAAAGTTTTTATCGGAGAATTCAATCATACACGCTATGATTATAATTATAATTTAAAGTTCAAAGAACTAAATATGCCGAAGCATTTGTATCTTTTAAATTCGGACTTGTATTGCCCATTTGGTGCTCAATTAATTTGAAATCGGATAAAAATATATATGGGAGCTATATCCAAATCGGAACCGATCTCGATAAAATTTCGCAAAGATATTTCTGAGCTGTATTTGATATATTTCCCCAAATATTGTTGTTAAAGAGTGCATATTACGGCTGCGGAGGACAAAAATAACAAATCGGATGAACAGTATATATGGGAGCTATAGCTATATCTGAACCGATCTTCACCAAATTTGACATACTAGCTTCTAGACTCAATTCGATCGTAAGTGCCAACTTTTTTCCAATTTGGGCAAATATTAGACGTTTGGTGCACAATCCAAGGTAAATCGGACGAAGTTATATGTGGGAGCTATATCCAAATCTGAACCGATCTCGATAAAATTTAGCAAATGTATTTCTGAGCTGTATTTCATATATTTCCCCAAATATTGTTGTTAAAGAGTGCATATTACGGCTGCGGAGGGCAAAAATAACAAATCGGATGAACAATATATATGGGAGCTATAGCTATATCTGAACCGATTTCGATCAAATTTGGCATACCTTCTTTCAGGTCCAATCGGATTGTACGTGCAAAATTCCATACTATTCGGACTGATATTACACGTTTGGTGCACAATAAAAAGCAAATCGGACGAAGATATATAGGGGAGCTATATCTAAATTTTGACCGATTATCTCCAAATTCAATAGGGTTCGTCCTTGGGCCAAACAAATGATTTGTGCAAAATTTCATCTGGATAGGGCAATAAATGCGAACTGTACTTTGTTTACAAAAATACATGGACAGACGGACAGACGGACGGACATGTATAAATCGACTCAGAATGTGATTCTATGCAGATCATCAAAAGGAACTATGGGTCTATCTCGTTTCCTTTTGCCTGTTACAAACAAATGCACAAAGACATAATACCCTGACCACCTTGTGGTGTAGGGTATACAAATGTGACCAAGACCCCGGATAACTCGAAATGTGGGGATACCTTCATATGAATGTTTTACAAGTTTTGCTTGGACCATTACTTATAATTTTTCGAAAATGTGTTTTCTTCTTACCAAAATTTTGAAGAAATTAGTTTGAACATTTTACCTAAAATATTAAAAAATACTTGAAATCGCATGCCTTTATATGGGGCCTATGTCAAAACGTATACCGACATGACCCATATTTTGTACAAATGATTGTAGATGGACTGTATCAAATTTAAAATTCTTTTGTAAATTTTGCGAAGTGTAGAGAGTTTGAGGCTCTTTGTGTTTGGTAAATAATGGGCTATATAATGGGTCTCCAATAAAACTTGGCTTGGGAACCCAAACCCCTGTTGGGATTTTAATCTCCAAATACCAAATGTGCTACTAAACACCTTCTTATCCCAATCCTAGACACCAACATAGACCTTTATATCAAATTCCGGTTCCATACCTTCACGCAATAACCAATTTTGTACAACGAAGTGCTTTTCGAAAAATTATAGTAAACATTTCCAAAACCATCTCCATATCTCAACCCCAGATATCAACAGTGACCCAATACCAAATTTAGTGCTATTTACTACTTTTTAGTACACACATAAGTTAAAAAGCCGTAAGTTCGGCCGGGCCGAGCTTTGAATATCCTCCACCATTTGGAACGAATTCGGCAATTCTCAAAAACAATAAAATCCGTTAACAATTCTGTTATAATCGTGAAAATGCCGAATGTAGCTGTTATATTAAGGTCTATACGACGACATGAACCTGCGTAGGTATCATTTGTCATAAGCCATTACAATATTCAAATGCGAAACTTAAAAAAAAATCGGAGGTACCGTTATATTGGGGATATACGAAGACGTGGACCTGCACAAACAATTTTCTGTCGTAGGCTATACTATCCATTAGGAACTTCAAATATCAAATATGAAACAATTCTGGTGAAAAATGTCCCTAAAATCATTAAAATACCGAAAATCGGGTGGTACTGATATATGGGGGCTATACGAAGACGTGGATCTGCACAGACAATTTTCTGTCTTAGGATGTAGTATCCATTATGAACTTCAAATACCAAATTTGAAACAATTTCGGTGAATAAATTCGCTAAAATCATCAAAATACCGAATATTGGGAGGTACCGTTATATGGGGGCTCTACGAAGACGTGGACCTGCACAGACAATTTTCTCTCTTAGGCTTTAGTATCCATTATGAACTTCAAATACCAAATTTGAAACAATTCCGGTGAATAAATTCGCTAAAATCATCAAAATTCCGGAATTCGGAAGGTACCGTTATATGGGGGCTATACGTAGACGTGAACCTGTACAGAAAATTTTCTGTCATAGACTGTAGTATCCATTACGAATTTCAAATACCAAAATTTAACTATTTCGGTGAATAATGTCGCTAAAATCATCAAAATACCGAATATCGGAAGGTACCGTTATATGGGGGCTATACCAAAACGTGGACCTACATGGCCCATTTTCAATACCAAAAGTCATGCGGACATAACATACATTTAAGCAAAATTTTATCTATCTACTTCAATTCGTTCGGAAGCTAGAGTGATTTCCACAGACGGACGTACATCGCTAAATCGACATAGAATTTTATGCTAATCAAGAATGTATGTACTTTGTGGGGTCTAAAATGTGTACTTCGAGGTGTTTCAAACGGAATGACAAACTTAATACCCTACATACTATGGTGGAGGGTATAACAAGATTCCAACAAAGAGCTCAATATCAAATTTCGGGATTTCAGCCCTATCACTTCACTCAGTACCCAATTTGGTACAAATAACTGTTTTTCGAACAATTATAGTACACATTGACCTTCGTGTCTTAACCACAGATACCAACAGTGATATCTATATCATATTTCAGGATCCCTTCACGCAATACCAAATTTTTTACCATTTAGTAATTTTCTACAAATATAGGACGCATTTTCAAACTACCGCTAAATCTCAGCCATCTAAATATCAAATTTCCGAACTTTATCTCTATATCCTCCCTCAATACCAAATATAGTACCATTCAGTACTTCTCGTACAAATATAGTACACATTCCTAAAACAAACTCCATATTTCCAAGCGACGACCCTAATACAAAGTTTCAAACTGCAAACACTTTCGGTTCACCCAATACCAAATTGTACCAAATATTGTACTATTTAGTACTTATCGTGCATATTTTTTACATATTTTCAAAACTACCTCTTTACCACAAACCTACCACCAACAGCGACCCCAATACAAAACTTCAAACTTCCAGCTTCATCCGTTCACCCCTAAACTTAACTGTTAAATTTAGTACCATTTAGTACACATTCCCAAAGCCACCTTCATTTGTCAAAGTTACTTTCCGACCTTGATTCTCTACTAAATGTCAAGTTTATCCGTACTATCATAATAACACTAAATGGTACCGCTTATTACCATTTTAGAACTTTGCCTAACCTTAACCAGTAAGGAAAGCTCAAAAGTCGGGCGGGGCCGACTATATGGTACCCTACACCACTATGCATATTTAGTAGAGCTCTCGTAAAAAGGTTTATACAGGGCATTTCAGAGCTCTATGAGATATTTGGTACAAAATCAAAATCTATCTAATTCTATCGTGCATTTTACGAACTATAGCTATCTCTGAACCGGGTTTCTCCAAATTTTACGTATTAGCTTCTAGACTGAATTCGGTCTTATGTACGAAAATTCATGCCATTTGGGCTGATATTGACCATTTAGTGCACATTTAACCCGAAATCGGATGAAGATATATATGGGAGCTATATCCAAATCTGAACCGATTTCGATAAAATTTAAAACAGATATTCCTGTGCTCCATCTAATACCTGGTACCAAATATCACGGTTGTGGAGTGAATATTACGAATGTATGGGACTAAAATACTAAATCGGATGAAACTTATATATGGTTGCTATATCTATATCTGAACCGATTTTCACTAAATTTGATATACTTGCTTCTAGGCTTAATTTGGTCCGATGTACTAAAATTCAGTCCATTTGGACTTATATCGGCCATTTGGTGCACAATTAACCCGAAATCGGATGAAGATATATATGGGAGCTATATCCAAATCTGAACCGATTTCGATAAAATTACAAACAGCTATTTCTGGGCTGTATCTTATATCTGGTACCAAATATCATTCTTGTGGAGTGCATATTACGAATGTGAGAGGCTTAAACACCAAATCGGATAAAACATATATACGGGAGCTATAGCTGTTTCTGAACCGATTTTCTCCAAATTTGTTGTATTTGCTTTAAGGCTAATCTCGGTCACATGTGCCAAAATTCGGGCCATTTGGGCTGATATTGGCCATTTGGTGGTCAATTAACCCGAAATCGGATGGAGATATATATGGGAGCTATATCCAAATCTGAACCGATTTCGATAAAATTTAAAACAGCTATTTCTGTGCTCCATATAATACCTGGTACCAAATATCACGGTTGTGGAGTGCATAGTAGGAATGTGAGGGACTTAAAGATCAAATCGGACGAAAGATATATATGGGAGCTATAGCTATATCTGAACCGATTTTCTCCAAATTTGATATACTTGCTTCTAGGCCGAACTCGGTTGGGTGTGCCAAAATTCAGGTAATTTGGACTGATAGTGGACATTTGGTGCACATTTAACCCGAAATCGGATGAAGATATATATGGGAGCTATATCTAAATTTGATCCGATTCTCACCAATTTCAATAGGGTTCGTCCTTGGGCCAAAAAAATATTGTTTGAAAAATTTCATCTCAATCGGATAATAAATGCGACCTGCATTTTGTTCACAAGAATACATGGACAGACGGACGGACGGACAGACGGACTAAATAGACTCAGAAAGTGATTCTATGAAGGTTCTCAAAATTAACTATGGGTCTATCTCGTTTCCTTCTCCATGTTACAAACAAATGCACAAAGACATAATACCCTTACCACTATGTGGTGTAGGGTATAAAAATCGAATTTCCAAAAACCCTTTCGTACATCTAACCTGAACTCCATCAATGATTGTCATATCATTGACAGCTCATTCCGTTCATCCAAGACAAAGTTTTGAATTTTTAGGACATTTTAGTACTTTTCGTCAAAAATATAATTCCAATGTATCCAGTCCAGTCTATTATAAGGAACACTTAAGCATGACACCGACAATATATGCACAAATAATTTCCAACTGTAGCATTGTGTTCTATTGCTTTTAGATAATAATCTATTATTGATTGTCGGGGAATAAGTGATATTGGTAAGGTGAGCCAAAAAAAAAAAGCAAGCCCCTAAACAGTAGCTTATCTCGCCAAAAGTCACATCAATTATCCATGACTATCTGGAATTTACATGGAACGCATTAAGAACCCACAAATATGTGTCACCATACATCTATGTGAGTAGAGTTAAAACGCATGGAATTGTAATTACAGCTATCAGTTTGTAATTATAGTTCGGACCGAGCAGATGACCATTTCGGTTGGCGGATTGGCTATAAAGTATGCGGCCCCTATCTCCCACACTGGCTGAAATCGCACGCCGAGATCTGAATGAGACTCCGGAGCGTATTCAACAGGACCTACACATACTACGCGAATGGATACGAAAGCAACGCCATTTGAGGGCACGAACAAGTGATGAATTCCTGATAGCCTTTTTACGACGATGCCGATACAGTCTGGAGGAGACGAAGCGCCGCATCGATCGGTTCTTTACGTTCTACAACATTTTTCCAGAGGTCTATAGGAATCGTTGCATTACCCGACGTATCTTTGATATTAATCGAATGGGGTGAGTGTGTTTTGCTGTGGGCGATGGAGTTTCCAAACTATTCCAACTTCATCTCTTCCGCAGTGTCCATTATTATCCCGAGTTTCCCAAATGTTCAGACAAATCGGCCATACTTATAGCCCGTTTCGGTCAATTCGATCCGATTAATTACAACGTTAAAGAGATCTTCCAGTTCATTATGATGGCCATGGAAATGATATCCTTGGAAAATGATTATGCCACCGTGGCGGGGGTGTCACAAATCCTGGACTTGCACAATATCAAATATGAACATTTGCAACGTTTTGATCGCAGCATTTTCCAGCGTTACTTCGCCTGGCTTCAGGAATGCTGTCCGTTGCGCATGAAGGAGGTCTATGTCATTAATGCCTCCAAGGAGATTCAACGGCACATAAATATGATGTCGATATTATTGAAAAATCAGAAATTTCAAACGGTAAGCAGGAGTATTGGACTATGGGGTATTAAGATCATATTTTAAACATCTTGAGATTTTTAGGTTCATGTCCTAAAGACCATGGACGATTTATATGCGCACATACCGAAATGTAATCTGCCCGAAGAGTATGGCGGCAGCAATGGCCACATCGCAGAATGCATTGCCTACATGGAAGATCTTTTGCAAAACTATCGCAACTATTTTGATGAGGATCCACTTTATGGTGTTTCGGAAGAATTAAGGACTGGCGATGTGGTTACCTATGAAGCTGAGTTTGGTCTATATGGTACATTTCGACAATTGCCGTTTGATTAGTATCCCAAATAAATCGAAAATCAAAAACTGACTTGGTGGATCGTCAAAGGTGTTTTAAAATTCATACCAAAAAGGTGTTTGAAAAAAGGGAAGTTACGGAAAATTGCGAAAATCGTATATACAAATTTGTATTAAACTGGTTAAATTATTGGATTTTAATAGGTAGAATTTTAATCTTCTATACTCGAAATATATATAAAGTTGCGAAAGAAACTCACCGATTGCTTTAGACTTTATACTCCCACGAGATGACACGTGTATCGATGTTTTTCCCTATCTCATCAAATAACCAGTAAAGAAAGTCTTAAAGTCGGGCGGGCCGACTTTATGATACCCTACACCACTTTGCTAATTTAGTAGAGTTCCGTATGACAATTAAACGTTTTTATGGGAGAATTCAATCATACACCCTATGATTATAATTTAAAGTTCAAAGGACTAAATATGCCGAAGCATTTGTATCTCTTAAATTCGGACTTGTATTGCCCATTTGGTGCACAATTTATTTGAAATCGGATAAAGATATATATGGGAGCTATATCCAAATCGGAACTGATCTCGATAAAATTTGACACAGACATTTCTGAGCTGTATTTGATATATTTCGCTGAATATCGTTGTTACGGAGTGCATATTACGGCTGTGGGTAACAAATATGACAAATCGGATGAATAATATATATGGGAGCTATAGCTATATCTGAACCGATCTTCACCAAATTTGACATACTAGCTTCTAGACTCAATTCGGTCGTAAGTGTCAAATTTCATCCCATTTGGGCAAATATTAGACGTTTGGTGCACAATCAAAGGTAAATCGGACGAAGTTATATATGGGAGCTATATCCAAATCTGAACCGTTCTCGATAAAATTTAGCAAATGTATTTCTGACATGTATTTGATATATTTCCCCAAATATTGTTGTTACAGATTGCATATTACGGCTGCGGAGGACAAAAATTACAAATCGGATGAACAATATATATGGGAGCTATAGCTATATCTGAACCGATTTCGATCAAATTTGGCATACTTATTTTTAGGCCTAATTTGGTTGTATGTGCAAAATTCCATACTATTCGGGCTGATATTACACGTTTGGTGCACATTAAAAATATGTGGGATATATGTGGGAGCTATATCTAAATTTTTACCGATTATCTCCAATTTCAATAGGGTTCGTCCTTGGGCCAAACAAATGTTGTTTGGAAAATTTCATCTAAATCGGATAATAAATGCGACCTGCATTTAGTTCACAAGAATACATGGACGGACGGACAGACGGATGGACGGACATGCATAAATCGACTCAGAATGTGATTCTATGCAGATCATCAAAAGGAACTATGGGTCTATCTCGTTTCCTTTTGCCTGTTACAAACAAATGCACAAAGACATAATACCCTGACCACCTTGTGGTGTAGGGTATAAAAAGTGTGGGGCCTAAATGACGAATAGAATTATTTTGTGAGGCTCACAATTTCATAGAATAGAAAACAGGTTCCATCTCTGATTTGTGTATATACAATGAACAGGGTTGCCCATATACGACGGACCCATCTGGTAACGCCATAACTTTTGACAGAGATGTCACATCGCTTAATGACATACCGCGTTTGAAGCGTAAGTCCAAGCAGATTTTTACCATGAACCAATAAACGCCACGCGAGCGCTCTGAAATTTACATTCAACAGAAGAAGTCAATTGTGAAAACTCAACGTGCTTTTAAAACATTAAAAAATGTGAGAAGTGCGCCTTCTAAGAACACCATTAAGCGTTTATTCGAAAAATTTTCGACTGGTAAGGCTCTTTCTAATCCTAAGAGGCCATATAAAAGTCGACCAAGGCGATCGGCCGAGAATATCGCTGCCGTACGAGCCAGTGTTGAGAGGTCCCCAAGAACATCCCAAAAACGCCCTTCTCAGCAGTTGGGCATGGCTCGGTCCACTTTACAACGGATTATTCGCATTGATTTGCATTTTTCCCCGTACAAAATTCAATTGACGCAAAGAAAGTTGCCTGCGGACAAGCCTCGTCGATTGGAATGGGCCCAAAGAGTCATCGAAAAAAACATGGGTCCGTCGAATATGGACAACCCTGTATATCTATAAAAGAGTAGTGAAATAACTTACTGAATGAGAATCATCGCCCAGACGAAACGGCTGTAGGCATGTGATAAGGGATTTACACTAAGAGGGTACGAAATGTACTAAAAGTTACTGCATTCAACGGAATGACCTGGAATTCTGAAGTAGTTGGTATTATGTGAACGGATAGAGCTAAAAACTTCAAGGTTGACAAATAAGTTTGTTATAAGAAGTTTATTTTGTACTATACTACAAGTACTATATTTGGTACAATTTGGTATTGGGTGAGCAGAAAGAGCATGAAATCTGAAATTTGGTATTAGGGTCGCTGCTCATGTGTTCTCGGCTAAGCGCTTGCTTGAGGTCATCGACTCTTTGGTATTTTTTAGTGCCAACCTTGCTTCCCAAAATACTCCAGACACACGGATTGGTATCCGGAGATTTTAGTGGCCATTGTGCGCTGGAAATGAAGCGAGGAATCTCATTTTGTAACCATTCATGGGTGGCGCCTGCTGAGTGCGATGGTGCTGAGTCCTGTTAGAATGTCCAAGTTCTGCGGCCAAAATGTTTGCATACCCAAGGCCTTAATACACCTTCCAGAATATTTTCGCCATAATATTCGGCATTTATTCTGATGGTGTCCAACGGAAGGTGCACATTTTCAGCTGACCTCTTTGACAAGTAAACACGATCATTTTGTTTGTTTACAAACTGCTGGACAACGAATGTTTTCGCATCGAAGAAAACCAAATTCGGCAGTTCACCACTTTCCGCCAAGCGAATCAACTCTTTAGCTCTCTTGAGTCTATTTTCTTTCTGTCGCGGTGTAAGTTCTTGCACTTCTTGGAATTTAAATGGCTTTGCCCCGAGCTCAGTTTTCAATATTTACCGAATGGAATATTGCGTATATTCAGCTCTCGAGCCACTTTTCGGCCACTGCGACGCGGAGTTCAATAATCGCTCCTTTAGTTTTCGAACCATTTCTGCTGATGTTGCTGTATTCTTCCGTCCACTTCCTTGACGTCTGGCTACGCTACCAGTATCACGGTAACGAGTGATGGTACGAGACTTAACAGATTTATTCACATTTAAATTCTGCGGTACTCTTAATATAGCCACTTGTGGTTTTCCAGCCAAATATAATGAAATCACACTATCAGGCTTGAATTCCATCACGAATGTCTTTTTTTCTGGAAAATTCTCACAAAAATGTTTTTGTACGCTAGTAAACAATATAATGAGCTGTCACTGGAATAATTTTAACAGCTGTCGGACGAGTGGTTTAGAAATGACAGCAGTCTGAAGTTGGTTGCAGTTTTTCATCTCACCCTCCACCATTTGGAACGAATTAGGAAATTTTCAAAAAAATAAAATCCATTAAAAAATCTGTTAAAATCTTTAAAATATCTAATATAGGAAGGTGCCGATACATGGGGGGATATACGATATTGTGGACCTATAAAGACAAATCTATGTCTGCGTGCTCTCTCAGGGGCTGAAGTACTCATAAGGAACTACTTGTGTGGATTTTAAGACAATTCCATTGAAAAATGTGGCTAACATCATCAAAATACCGAATATCGGGGGTACATTTATATGGGGGATATACGATATCGTGGACCTATAAAGACAATTCTTTTTGAGTGGCTAAAATGCCCACAAGGGACTGGATTTGTGGAATTTCAGACAATTCCATTGAAAAATGTGGATAAAATCATCAAAATACCGAATACCGTGGGGGTACTGTTATATGGGGGCTATACGATATTGTGAACCTATATTGATAATTCTCTGCCGAGGTATAAAGTACCCACAAGGAACTCCTTGTGTGGATTTTCAGACAATTCCGTTGAAAAATGTGGGTTAAATCATCAAAATACCGAATATCGGGGGGTACCGTTATATGGGGGCTATACGATATTGTGGACCTATATTGATAATTCTCTGCCGAGGTATAAAGTACCTACAAGGAACTCCTTGTGTGGATTTTAAGACAATTTAATTGAAAAATATGGCTAACATCATCAAAATACCGAATATCGGGGGTACCGTTATATGGGGGCTATACGATATCGTGGACCGATATAGGCCATCTTCGAACTTGACCTGCCTGCAGACAAAAGAGGGATCTGTGCAAAATTTTATCTTCCTATCTTAATTCGTTTAGACTGTTGCGTGATTACAACAGACGGACGGACAGGGCTAAATCGTCTTAGAATTTTACGCTGATCAAGAATATATATACAGTATTTTTTGCTTACCTGCACAATCAAAAATTGCACGACATCTTGTGCAGCAATGCCCAAAATGCAGGTAGCTTCATTGCATTTATCTGCACAATGAAGCAGGTATCTTTAATTTTACTTACGTGCACAAAAAGTGCAGGTATCTTTAATTTTCTATTCGTGCACAACAAAGCAGCAATCTTTATTTTACTTACGTACGTGTAATAGCCAGCCAAAATCAATGGAGAATCTTTTAAAGTTTATAATACATTTATTAAGTGGTTTAATTATATTAAACACAACAATTTAACATAAAATAAATAATTCATAATTCTCATAAATTGTCTAGGCAAGCAATGCTCACCATTAGCGTCATCGAAACTTCAAACAAAAGAGTGTTCTCTTTTAGCTCATCAAAAGTAGTTAAGTAATGGATAGACAAACTCAGAGAGACAAATTCACAACATATGTATTTGAGCATCAGTGGTGTTTTATCCAGCATAACCATCTTTTAGTGTGGGAGAGGAAGCGAGAATATGTTCTTAATGCATGCTCTTTTCTTGTGTTGTTATTGTTTTTGCAAATACAAAAACAAAAAAGAAGTGGTAGTTTTTAGTGTCTTCTTTAAGTTTGCAAAAAATTTTCTTGTGCAGATAAATACAACTTTTGTAACCAAATTAAAAAAAAAATACCTAACTTTCGAGGCAGGAATGT